CACAACCATTTTCACACCCTAAGAGTAGAGGAATACTTCAATTCGGTTCGTCATGATCAGTAGATGTGATTTGCCCCCGAGCACCCCTGGGTAAATTACCGTACAGCAATGCGTTCAATGCGTGACGTCATTGGTAAGAGACGGCCCCCGAACACATATGGTACTCACACCGGATGTTGTCACATGTTGGCTCACGTCTGTAAACACTAACTTTATTCAAACAAACTTTACTTCCGTTTAATATTCTGCAATAATAATGTCTCTACATCTATGGTTGTAGTGTTAAAATCAGTAGGTTCCGGTGTACATCACTCCATGTCATTTCGCTACTAAATTCATCTCTATAAGAAATTGTAAATTTACCACATGCTAACTGCCAACCGGAGATGAAAGAGTTTCAGAATAAAGCTTAACAGCTGGTTGTGCACAAGAATTTCTGGTTTTTCAGTATAAAACAGCATTTAAACTGACGGCATGTTTAAACTACATTACCCCATTAAAACATTGATTTTAATTTCTAACAGTAGCTACACAGAAGCAAGCAATCTACTGCTGTGTGTGTATATGTTTTGGACACCTAAAACAAAGGCCCACCTAAAAGATAAATATCATTTTGAGTATATGTATGCTGTATTTAGAATATTTGTATCGCTTGATCTGGCCGTCAGACAGCCCTTCCTGACTGGGAACTGAAGCCATAATCTATGCTCTCTTCAAAGCCACCAGACTACATTGACGTTTGGTGATTTGGTTAAATCAGATTCACCCAAGTGTAGTAAAAGTACGTTTTTTGATAATGGAGTCTTTTCTTTTATTTACACCTGTGTGTTTCCTGTGTGACATGTTCACATGAGAAGGTGGTTCTCTCAGCTTGAGAGCAAACTTCTCCATAGGGACATACAGTATTTATGAACCTGCAGTTCCTGACCTTGATAGTCACTGAGCGTCTTTCCCAGGGCTGTTAGCATTCCCCCTCTGAGAGTTTCATATACCCAGGATGGATAGTTGGATTTGAAGGGGATTATGGGATTGCACCGTTTGAATCTAAGGTAAGAGAGTTCTACTGAGGATTTAAGAGAGCATAGTCGTTTTGGGCATGTGATGGCTACAGAAATACTTAATTATGTAGGGCAGGAAGTTGCAGTTTAAAATAAAATAACATACGGCTGCTTTCAAGCATTTAGGAAGCTGATAAGAATCTAAAGTGAGAGCACAGAACACATTCATCGATACACAAGCAAGAAGAGTGAGTGCAACAAAGGAGTGTTATTGAGTAGTGGTATTTTCACTTTATTCTAGCAATTTTCTGTACTGTGATATTTACCTCTCGCCAGACGAGTTTTCAGCAGAACTGTCTGGTTTTGCTGGGTGAATAGAATATTTAGCGATACAGACAGATATTGAAAGCAGGTGGATTTTATTTTCCTGGAATGGCTTATGTCTGCTCTGACGCTCAGAGGGGAAAGTAAACACAAAGCCACTCTGAGCTATCTCCTTCATCCTTTGCTCTGGCTGTCCTGTTCTAATGGCAGCAGCCTCCTCCGAAAGACAATGAACTGTGGGCTCAACTGTTTGCTCAGCTTTATATTGTTCTCAAACATGAGCCAGGGGTGTCCCAGTCATTAGCATACATTTACATTTACAAGATAGAAACTGAACTTTCCAACCTCATCAACCAAACACCAAATGGATGGAATTTCTCACGGAGGAGCAGCATCGCATCCCTCAAATAAAAGCAAGTTAAAGCATGTGTGAGAAAATAACAATTTTAAGCTTTTTGTTGGCAGCTTTTGGTAATCCAGCACCCTATTACTGTAGACACACTGTTTTTGTTTCCTTTCACTGAGAGTTTGCTATGGAGGTTAAAGAGGTTGCCAGCAGGGCATGATTTCATCCAAGTTTAACAGATGGTGAATATAATGGCCATGTGTAAAAGCAGCAAAAATGTTTTGTCAGTGCCAGACTTTATTGATAAGATTCAAGTCAAATCGAAATAAAATCAAATGAAGAATGACTATTGTTGGCACTGGAACCTTCGGTACAGACTACCAAAATGAACTGGTGAACTTGTGTTGCTCTGGGATTTTCCAGCTTGGTCTGTCTGTAAGAAAATAGGTTTCTGCTGTTTCTCCCACAGCGCTCCGGTAGCCAGCGATGGTCGAGGCTCAGTTCATGAGACCCCATTGTTTCCCCCTGCGAGTCTGCGGTTTCCCTGCTGCCTATTCCCTGTTGTTCTGTCTTTCCTTTTAAGCCATGTCATCCAATGGTCGAGTGTGAGCGAGAGTGTAGAGTGTGTGCTAACGTCTGTCTGTCTGCACGTATCCATACAAATGTGTGTGTTCCAGTTTTTCCCCCTTCACTAGTGAAGGATCATCTGTGGTTCACATATGTGTGTTGAGACAGTGTGGGGCCTTGTGGTTTCCTGCCCTTCTTCCTCCTCTAGTTCATTTTATTATATTTTCTTCTCCCAATCCTTACCGCTTCTATGGTCCCCCTATATTGCCCCTCTTGTTTATTCAATGAAAGACGTCTGACTAAGTATCCTCAGGCCTGCCAAGTCAAGCTGATTTTCTAATCTCACTTGTCCAGTATGCCTGCGGCAAACACGGCTTGTGCTAAATACATCTGAATCCTCAAATGTGTTTGAACTTTCCTCCTTCCTTTAATTCATCCTTCCTTGTTTCCATTGTTCCCCATATTGCTTTTCTTGTTTTCTACCAATACTACACGACTTCTGAGGTCGTTTCTTCATATGTCAGTCAATTTTATATTGTAAAATATTGATTTTGTTTCAGCGTCTGGCCAGTGCCAAGGCCCACACATCTCGGTTTGTGAGTGCCAACCTACCATGCAACAAGTTCAAGAACCGGCTGGTGAACATCATGCCCTACGAGACCACACGTGTGTGTCTGCAGCCAATCAGAGGAGTGGAGGGATCTGACTACATCAACGCCAGCTTCATCGACGGATACAGGTCAGAATAAACTGATCTGAACTATTGTTTCCAATGTTACTGTTGACTTTTATTTCAGGCATGGCATTAGTTTATTCAGTTACGGTTATCAGTGTTTTGTCAAATCTGCCCCACAATATGCATTGTTAAGTATTTAATTTACCTATTTGTGTTTTTAGGCAGCAGAAGGCCTACATAGCAACCCAAGGCCCGCTGGCTGAGACCACAGAGGACTACTGGAGGATGCTGTGGGAACACAACTCCACCATCGTTGTCATGCTAACCAAACTGAGAGAAATGGGACGGGTACGAATACTAATACAAATACACAGACACACATTATTGTGTAATCAAGTATACAGGGAACAGTTGTTAGGGTGGATATAATAGGCAGCTATTTTTATACATACATCTGAAAATAATAAAAAATTATAGTCATGACTATTAAAAACAGCATATGGAACGTTAAAAATGCAAGCAACACAGTGATGGAGTGTGAAAGAGATAATTGTCTGAGTTATATCTCATGGACATCATATCTCATCTGGCACAAGACTATCTCCAAGTGAATAATGAATTTCAGTCAGGAAGACATTTTCATGACGAAGTATCCAGAAATTGTCCCTCAGACATGATGTACAGCTCTGAACGTTAGTCTCTGTGCTGTCTTCCTGCAGGAGAAATGTCACCAGTACTGGCCCGCAGAGCGCTCCGCCAGGTACCAGTACTTTGTGGTGGATCCCATGGCTGAGTACAACATGCCCCAGTACATCCTCCGAGAGTTCAAAGTCACTGATGCCAGGGTAAGTCATTGGTTTGTCTGTGTTCATGTGGGTAAAAGACATCATGTGTAATGCTTTTAGATTATTTCTGTGATTCAAAATAATCAAACACATTCTCTTCCTCCAGGACGGCCAATCGCGGACAGTTCGTCAGTTCCAGTTTACTGATTGGCCAGAGCAAGGAGTGCCAAAGTCAGGGGAGGGATTCATTGATTTCATTGGCCAGGTGCACAAAACTAAAGAACAGTTTGGTCAGGATGGGCCAATTACTGTGCACTGCAGGTAAGACCCATTCCTCGTATTAACCCCTTTATTTTATACACAGATCAAGGAGTGACTAATTAAAGAAAAAACCTAATTTATTAAGGGGAGTAACATAACAAATGCTGAGAAGAATGAAAATAATATTAATTATCTCACATAACTGACTTTTTATGCCTGAGAAAGCACTTTTAATACTATCATAAAAGCACCAAATGAGGGATCATATGTTTGGTTTTCATGTTTTCAGTTGAGCTCAGAGATTGGTGGTGGCCTAAAATCTTACTAAGATACTTAGTGCTGTTTTTTTTACTTTAATCTATCACCCATACAGTATGTACATGTGATCACTGTAGTATTTATCTGAATGTCGTCACTGCTAACATAGCCATTGAGAGGAACATCTACAGTATATAGGATTGTGAACATGGCACGTCGGTCTATTATGCATGACTACAGGTTTAACAGTTCCAAATATATCCAGCTCTAAATATGTTTCCGTCTGTCCGCCCACAGTGCTGGAGTAGGGAGGACCGGTGTTTTCATCACCCTCAGCATCGTGCTGGAGAGGATGAGGTACGAGGGGGTGGTGGACATTTTCCAGACCGTCAAGATGCTGCGCACCCAGAGACCTGCCACCGTTCAGACAGAGGTGAGCTCCCACGCTGTTATCCTTCTGTTTCCCTGCTACATCATGCTCATTTTCTCTTAACACTCTTTTTCTTCTGTCACTGACTTTACATTATTCTTCCTCCCTCCAGGACCAGTACCAGTTCTGCTACCGGGCCAGTCTGGAGTACCTGGGAAGCTTTGATCACTATGCAACATAAACCCGAGTGGTCATCTCTCACATGCCACATCCCACCCAGTGCACTTTTCTTAGGTCACATGCGGCCTGATTTAATGCACTAGGCTGCGATGTGTCTATGAAGATTTTTGCCACCACATGCAGAGTGAAGGGGGACCATCGGCTTATCCCGTACCCAGAAACAGCACCTCTTACTGAGCCATAGCGACCTGCTTGACAAGGGTGTTTCCTTGCACCCTCAGCCCAAACACACCCATTGGTCAGTCTGAAGAAGCAACTTCAACCACTGTTCCAATCAGAATACTTGATCAAATATTTTTTTCTATTTGTTTCAGTGCTTTTGTGAGCACCCAGATTGCTTTACATTGTTTGGGTGTGGAACTCTCACCTCGTCCACCACCAGTGTAGCATCACCAACCTAAATATAGGAACCGGCTACAGTATTTAGCTGTCACAGGAAATTTAGATTTTTCTATTTTGAGGACTGTCTAGAGGGAGTCTACAAATCCATGTTATGGAAGCTTTGTGGACTGAATGAACTGGGACTTTTGAGCACCAGAGAATTGTCAGCAGGAGACTGAAAACACAGAGCACACAGTATTAAAAAGACAAAGAACACACATCCCAAAAAGAGGCACCAAGAAGTGTTTTTTTCTGTTTTGTTTTGGAAACAGACTCTTGTTTCTTTTGAATGAAAAAGAAGATATTTCTACCATACAGTAATAAAAACCACCAGTTCAACCTTATGCTTCACGGTTAAAGATAAGGGAAACTTGAAAGCGGTTTAAAATGCATACCACAAAGTAAAAAGTTGATTTAGTTTTTTAGAAAAAAATATAGATATGTGACATGTAGATATGTATTGGGTTGTTTTTTTTACTTTATGGCACGTTTTTGTTTTGTTTTTACAGATTTCTGAATTTGTCCCCACTGACCATACGAAAGCAAAGTTGTATTTCTTTATCTGTGTAATCCAATGAGCTGTAGCTTTTTTTAAGTGATACAGTACTGTTTTAAAGTATACAATCAAAACTAGTGTGGAAAATGTTCACAATTCTATGGAAACACCACCATTGAGTGTCACTCTCCTGTATTCTCTACCCACTCTGTTTTTGACAACACACGCGTTTCGCATGCACACGGGACTCTCAACCTCATTTCTATCTGGCCTGTGGTGTCAGAGAAGAATTCCCAGGGGCCGACAGAGGTGCAACATTAACCCTGCTGATGCCAGGACGTCCCGAGAATAAACTCGCCAAGTTGTTCTGTGTGCACGTTCAGAGGAAGCCAGATAGAACTACAGAGAGTATGCACAGAAAGAATAGTATTAAAAAATATTTATGTGTCCAAATAAGCTTCACAAAGATTTCTCAAGCAGGGAGCACGAAGGGAGTGTAGAATAATGGTGGGGTCGAGGGTGGAGGATGGGGGGGGGCTCAGGAGGAACAATTTTCTCACTGGAATGCTCACCTATGATTTTTCTCTCTGTCTGATTCAGTGTGCAATAAGTAGATGTATTATATATTTTTGTGTCAAGTCACTAACTGCAGTTATATGCCATTATGATGACGATGATATTGATGATGATGGTGCATCATTTTCGAGACACAAAGATGTTACGCTTGATATGATTCTCGCCACCGTTTAAATGTGTCCAAACAGAGGGTCCACCACTGACCTCTTAGGAAGTAGATCTTTTATTATGTCACAACTCCAGTAGATGATGTCATCCTTCTGTGTGTCACGGCAACCAACGAATGATCGAACTCATACTTCAAACAGCATCTAATAAGTATTTTGATTTTAGATTTATAGTGCCTTATATTACACGCCTATTTTGATAAAGTTACTTTAAAGGTTTTCTTTGTGTACTTTATGTATGTATGCTCGTATGTGACCTGAATGTCTGTGTATATTATTTTGTTATGTTACGGTGTGTCAAAGTGTGATCTGTTTTTGGCTGTGAAATGTTGTATGGGAGGCTCTGTGGGGGCTGGATAGTTGTACTCATCAATTTCAACCCAGCAACAATAATATCATATCTCTTCAAATGTTAAAGAATATCTTACATGAGATTTAACTAAAGACACTAAAAATGTGGTTTCAAAATAGGTTATGAGCAGGATGATCATTTTGGAAAGAAAAAAGTTTGTATTTCAACAGCTTTCCGTCTTTTCTTTCCTGGGACACTTGCTGAAACGTTGTGTATGTTTTCCTTTCATCCGACTTCAGTTTGGCTGCTAAGAAATGTTGGCCATACTGGTGACTTTGGCACCGACTGTGAGCTGGCTCAGAGAAGTCATACTTCCTCAGCTATTTAGAAATCTATAAAAAGCTGAAAGGCAGTGGCAATCTTTGTCAGTTTGGAGAAAAGGTTAAATAACAAGAGTTCACCCTATCCCACCTGAAGCCCTAAACGTACAATGATTCAAACTGCGCAGCTTTTTTCCTCATTCTGATGTCTACAGTTATATATTTGTTTCCTTTAATGACAAAGGCTGAAAGAAGATCAGGTGCTACATCTCCAACAACACAAAACCCACATCATCTTCTTTTTTTGTATGCTCTTCAACGCTTCACCATATAGGCTAAGAGATCGTTGACAGTTGTTCACCCTCTTAAAGTAACCCTGTTGTCGTTTTGTATGCATGGTACCACTTTTGAGATGCCCCTTTGGTCACACCTGTTATGGGAAGACTTGCACTTTCTCTCTTTGTACTATGCACTAATACTAGTATCCTATTATCTCTGAAAGCCCCTCCCCCCCTCCCAAAGGAGTTTTACTTGATCTCAGTAAAGATGGACCCTGTAATGCTCACATGGTTGTGTATATGTAAATAACACAAATCACAGAGAGTAATTGAATATTGCATAAATTAATTAATAAATAGATAAATGAATAAGGTGAAGAGTGATTAAGAATGTATCAGATATACAGAGTGATATATTAAAAGGATGCACCTGAAATCACAGTTTATGGCACAGCAGTATGTGTGATACATCACATTGTGGATTTGTTGTAACACAAAAGAGAAGTTTCACAAAGAAGTGTTCTATTTTATCCCCGCCCCCAAATGTATCATGTAGATGGATAAAACTGGAGTTTATAAATTGTATAAAAACGAAAATATGGTGTGGTACTTGGACCAATTACCTCTAATTGGTCTGTAAATGTAAACTTATTTTTTTGTTTTGTTTTCTGCTCCGAGTCAACAAGTGCTTTTTATTTTTCTTACATTGGTTCTCGGAGCACGTGAAAACCGAAAAACAGTTCTGTTTGGATTTCTGTTCTCTGTCGACACAAGTTTCATTTGTTACAAATAAACTCAAGTGAAATAACTGCTACTGCTGTCGTTTTTAATAACAAAACGTCTAAAAATGTGTTAGAATAATGAAAATCCCAAAACAGAAGATTCTATAATTATTTTTAAAAATAAAATAAAAATTTAAAGCAGATTATTGGCCTCTACTTCAATGATTTATCGATAAAATTAGGGAAACGATTGTATTTGTTATGTTGTTTAAAAGGATAACAAAAAATAATTTATCTTATGTATATTATAGTGTACATACATCAAAACTGACTAGCTTAGACTTTAAACTTGCTGGAGATCCATCAAAAGTGAAAAACAAGCCTTTTTTGTATTGTGTGAAATTATGTAACATAAAATGCCATACTGAAGTCACATTATAGAATATCAAAGAAATCATAAAAGGTCATGATACAGAATGTCACAAAATATGTCATGACATACTGAAGTATTTATTTTGTCATGAAAATGTCATTAAAAGTCATGTCAATATGTCATTAAAAAAGGTGGCATAATGGAGAACCTTCCTTTGTGAAAACATCTGTACGTTGATTTGTTTATTTTATAAATATAGAAAGGAAAGGAATTTCTCTTCGGCGGCTTTGTGTGTTTTTACCTCCTGTAAAAGTGCAGTTTCAGTGGTTCACTTAAGAACGAGAATGAAAATGTTACTAAAAATAGCTGCTCTATTTGTCTCTCATTTTATTCCAGCATCATCCAGTTTTTTTTCTGAAACTTTTTGTTGGCAGTGTAATGAGCGTTCCAGCCTCACAGGGCTTCTTGCATCACTAAAAACTTTTAGTCTTGATAAATCCATATTGGAAAACAGATGGAGGCTCCAGTCTGCAGTGAGTGGAAAGTTGCTGCTGAAAGGGCCTTTCTCATTCATGTATGTCTTGTCATCGCAAAGGCTCAGCAAATGATCTTCCAACGCCTCATTCAGAGAGCTTCTTGCTTCTGGGCTTCGAGCAGAGCGTTTCAGATCAGTCGTCTACTCCCTGTTGAAGCTTCAGAAGCTCTGTTGCCATGAGCTGTGTCATTAGCTCAGTTCTCAACACTTCAACATTTCCTCCATTAGACTGTTTTCACTTTCAGAGCGATAAGCTGTGCAACTTTGTTTCAATCATGATCCAATGCTGCTCCATTCTATATGAAGTACTCATCCTTTTTGTTGAAGCTGAGGGACAAACGTTGCTTTTGTGAAAGACAAATAGAGCAAATTAAGTTTTACGGCCTTCAATTACAATGTAAATGAAAAACAAAACACTTTTACTAGAGAATGATAGCAGGCAAAGTAAAGCAGCCATATTCAACCTCCTGTTCTAAATACTGCATTGTTGCACATACAATTACACAGACAATGCTTTGCTAAGAAAAATGCTTAACTAGATACATTGATTTATTGCAATAGAGCTACAGAAAAGACTGCTGGGTGGCAAGTGGTGGGAGAAGTGTTCACTTTGTTATTTAATTGTTCTCACTAATACCACAGTATTGCTACTCTGTTAAAAGGTGATACACTCCAACACCAAGTATTAGCAACAACATGTGATTGAAGTATCCAGAATACATGTCACATTTCAGAATACTGTATTTGATATTATCATTAATGCATACCTCACTTTAATAGGGACGCTATTAATTGTATTTATTTATTTTTGACATACTGCTGGGTAGCTTGTGGTAATCTTAACTTAATCTATGTATATACTTTTTTGATAAGGTTCCCCCCTATATAAAGTGTAAATGTTTTTACATAATTGTTGTGTTGTTTCCAAGGAAGAGGTAGTCACCCTAGAATCTACAATAGGCATTTATTTCCCCACTTTGTTTGTCTTTGCTTGTGTTCTAAATAGTTGTTGTTCAGTGTTGAAACATTCATTAGCTAACAATGACCAAATTACAATTTGAAATAGAAGATATGTAATGTTCTATTAATATAAAGTGAGGTCCAGTTACCACTTACTCTATGAAACAGCTGGTAGTTATGGGTCCTTTTTACTCAAGCACATTTCAAAGCCCATACTTTTTTACTTTTACTTGAGTAAAGAAGTGTAGTCAGTACTTCTTCTTCTAACAGAGTATTTTTAAACATGAGTATCCGTACTTCTACTTAAGTAAAGGATGTGTGTACTTTTGCCATCTCTGCTTGAATAGAAGTTTCTTAAAAGTATAATGTTATTGTAATTGAAGGCACGTCGAGGCAATGCTCACAATAAACGACTTGAAAATCATTGATTTGCTTTTAGGGGAATACAATCTTCTATGTGGCATGTTTGTTTTGCATTTTCCTCAAGAAAAATTAATTTGTTTGGCTTCTACATCACAGTCTGAAGCAGGCTGTGACGTGGTCTCCATGGGAGTACAACACTTTTTGCAGCCTCGCCATGACCACTTAAGATACCTCCTGGATTTTACTTCTATTATAAGCATCTCATTTTGTATAACCAAAATGTATTTAGAGACACATAAACCGCATTTTTCACAGCTGCTGCAATGCAAATGCCCCCTTAGTGGAAATAAGTTGACAATTTCATAAGAAAACATAAGTCATTTTTTTATTTATTTTCCTTACAGCAGTTAGCAATATTTTAACTATAGCAAGCCAAAAATAAATACAAATTTAAATTATTTCAACAATGTATTTCATTTAACAGAGCAACAGTAGCATTTCACGTTAATAGTGCACAGAATCCAATCCCAAGGCATGGCTTCCCGTCTGAATCTGTCCCCTTATGAAGGGTTTAAAATGTTGTCAATTCTATATTTTGCTTTAAATCCATTTCATAGTTTGTCCATATTGATGAAAAACAGACAGAGAGGAAGCCATTGTAGTGTCACTGGCCTCCAGCAGGAGCAGTTAGGAGACTGTTTAACATGCGATCAGAAACAGTGAGACATGAAGAAAATACAAGCAAAGTGCATAACTATTCAAAACAATAATAACATAACCCCAAAAAGCTACCATCGGCAGGCTATTTAGAAAAACCTCACATTTTAATTTTTCATGTACAAAGAAAAAAAGTGTCATTTATTTCCAAAAAGGGTGATGTGACAATTGTAAGTCACGTTTATTTTCCCTGACAGATGTGAAAGCAATAGGCAACAATGTCCTCCGTTATCCTGTTCTATGAGAGTCCAGCTGTCCCATCACCAATCACTCACGTATAATGTACAAGCAAGTTATCATCCATCTCACACAACGTTGTTTCCTCTGTTCCTCGAGTTGCAGGGAAGTTGTTTGGGCATTTAGTTGAGATGAAAGTCCAAAATACCAACACGCAAGCATCCACACACACACGCAAGCATCCACACACACGCATCCGCAAGCATCCACACACACGCATCCGCAAGCATCCACACACACACGCATCTCCCCACACACACACACACATCTCCACACACACGCATCTCCCCACACACACACACTCCACACACACACACACACACACACACACACACACACACACACACACACACACACACACACACACACACACACACACACACACACACACACATACTCTCTCTCACACACACAGANTTTAGTGGAGTTCCGGATGTTGTCACATGTTGGCTCACGTCTGTAAACACTTATTATTGCTGAATATTAAACGGAAGTAAAGTTTGTTTGAATAAAGTTAGTGTTTACAGACGTGAGCCAACATGTGACAACATCCGGAACTCCACTAAACTAAAATGCCGTGAAGTATTTCCAGTATTTTTAAAGTATGAATTACAGCCATAAAATTGCAATAAATGAAAAGGGATGAAAGAGAATATGAGGAGAAGAGGTGTGTTTAAGCATATATTGAATGTACGATGTCTGAATCCTCCGTTATGAGTAACATGGAAGATCGGAGGAGGAATATCCCTACAACGCCAACCAGCAGATGAGGAGGAGCCACCTGGGGGTATTTAACAGCTGAAAGTGTGTTTCGCTGCTCTCTCTCTTTTGACTCCGGAGCCCCAGAACACAGCTGCTTTTCTGATTGAACAATATCATGCTTGTGACATACCCGCGCCTTTTTTAATTAAAGTACCCAATTGAACCTTCACAGAAACTCCATTTAGTCTCCTTTTAAAGCTTCTCTCCCGGACGGGAGAATAACGAACACAGTTTACACTACTCCTGTCAGTTTTTCCAAACTGGTGGCTAGCCGACAGCCTTCTACTGTAGGTAAAACACTGACTATGGATAAGTACCTCATAAAACCCCGCTTCAAAACAAAACTATCCCATTAACAACCTCCACAGCTTGTTTTTCAGTATCCAGACCACACTTCAAACCCCATCTTCATGTCTTTGATGTTTTATATATCAAACACAGTCTGACAGCATGAAGAGAGCCCATCTGTAGACCCTGGTTTATTCTTAAGTGTGAGAAAGGACTGAATATCTACAGAACAAAATTCAGTGGAGCTATTGTGCAACGTTACCCTTTGTTTGGCCTTATATGTACTGAGGGGCAAGAAAAAGCTGACTCTCTCTCTAGAGACCAGTGGAGTGTCACATCGTAATTTTTAATCGGTTTTATGAACCATCGTAAATCAGTTAGACCAAATTTGACAACTTTCAAAGACATGTTGATGAGTGCTCACCTTGAACTCCACCTCCATGCCGGTGACATTCTCTCCTGGTTCGATCTGCGTCAGCCTCTGGATGTAGGAGTACAGGTTCCTGGCCGGGACCTCCGTGTTCCCGCAGGTCACGGCCTCCAGCAATGCGTCATGAATGAAGATGTACTGATCCTCCGTCTGGACCATGTAGTTCCTCTGGGAGCGCATCAGCGTGACATGGCCGTAAATGTCGAGGGTCTTCTCATGCTTGATCCTCTCGGCCATGCCGTCGATTACTATGAAGCAACCTGTACGACCCACTCCAGCACTGAGCCAAAACGAGGGGGGGGGGGGGAGAAAAGCAGGGAACACATGGTGATGTTATACTCTCAACAACCTATGGGAGATAAATTGTTAGTGCTATGCCTTCAAAATCGGTCCAAATCTAGTCCTGTTGCATATTTTAAAACCAATAACATACTGTGCCTAAATCTACTAAGTATCACAAAGATGCCAGCAAGCAATATTTCCAACACAGGATGTAAAAACTGACATCAGCGATGAGTCAGCATCACCGTCTGACTGGCATTAGGAAGATATCCTCTCCTATCGACATACAATCCAGAAATATAATACATTTAGCTGCCCACCCAAACACTTCACATTTATGCTGTGCAAGTCCCTAAATGTTGAAACAGCCTGACCAAGCAACTTCCTGCAAGCGAATAAAAACCTCTTTATATGGTTAAATTAATATCAGTGTGTATGTGCACGCTGGCTTGTGTGTGTTGTTCAGGTGAAATGAGATTTGGTCCATTGTTTGACACAGAGAATGGTTCATATGTTAAGGCACATTATGATGGAGTCTTTCCGGGATAATTAAATTTGACTGATAATCCTGTTAGATACTCCATCTGACTGCTACGGAAGATTAGGAAGAGCTCCTCTCCTGCCAACCTTTTCAACCCCCTCCCCCCCACCCCCGAGCCTCATCTCTCTTTATCTTCTCTCCAAATACCCTTACAACACTCTCACACCCGCCCCACCACGTTTTCACTCTCGCATTTTTTTTTAGACTCCATTTTCTCTCCACCTTTCCCTTTCTTTAATTCATCATTTCCATTCACTGTCCTGGATTTGACCTCACCTTCTCTCTCATGCTGCACATATCTCCTCTTTTAACTCCCAGGAGCCAACTCTCCCTCTCAATCATTCCTCCATCCCCCTTTCTTCACTCTCTTTTCCTCCTTCCACCATCTTTACAGCACTAATTCTCCCTCCCAAGAGCTTCTGCTCCATATTCTCTCCCTCTGCTACCCACTATCTTCTCTACTTCCCTCCCTGGTTGACCAAGCAGGACTTGGGCTTGTGAGCCTCCTGCTGCTGAGATGGCAGCTCATTTGAATATAAACTTATGAACCCAGATCTACCACCAGCTTAAACTGTAAATAGCGAACACTAAAAGCTACTTATGGAAAAGAGGGTAAGCATGGCGGCCGCTGTTGTTGTAAAGTGAGGTTGTTAAGTGCGGAATGTGGGTGTCTAAGCCACTGAGGATGGTTTGGGGTTTTCATAATGGCAGGTCAATCTGATTTCAGCTCAGGACCTATGAATGATTGTTTACAAGTGTTCTTGGACTCTTTTTGAATTTCACAGACTCCTGGGGATACGAAAGAATGACGTTGCCAAGTAAAACCCAAAATAACACATAAGTGTTTCATGAAAGCCCACACACACACACACACACACACACACACACACACACACACACACACACACACACACACACACACACACACACACACACACACACACACACACACACACACACACACACACACACACACACACACACAATAAAGGACCAAATGGAATTTATTTTTGGTCATGGACCACTTTTCTTGGGGATTTTAAGAATGCTTTTAGTACAGTAAATGATAAAACATTTTTAAAGTTAGTCATTATAAAAACACAATTACTGATAAAAACACACACACACACACCTGCAGTGGACGACCATGGGACCCGCATCTGGTGGGTTGCAGGCCTTGACCCTGCGTAGGAAGGCCAGGAAGGGGGTGGGATGTTCAGGTACCCCGTGGTCTGGCCAGGCGGTAAACTGGAAGTGACGAACCTCACGCTTCTCATTGGAGCCGCTCTGTCAAAAACGTTCAAGATAAAGCTGGAATAACTCTATATTTATGTTGTTGTTCACAAATATATAGTGTCTGATAAAAAAACTAAACCCACAATGTCTCCATCTGTCTTTCAGTACTTTTCAACCTCCCTACCCTGCCCTGTCTGTGGTATTCAGCTCTAGGCACATTTGTACCTACTATGAATGTTGATTATGAAAAAAAGGACTCGAATAAGAGGAAAAGGCAAAGTTATTTCCCTTAACAGCTGGAAAACATTGCCAAAACAATAGCTTATTTCTTGAGGTTAATAGTCATGGATTAATACACTTTTGGTGGCCGAATGAGTGTGAGCACTGACTAAAAACCACAGTGCCCATGTTCTTGGGAATAATAATAACACAGAAAACAACAGTGCGGCTTTTAATACTTTTTGAGCAGCAATAGAGGTCTGCGGCACAGAGGAATAAGCTGCAGCGTATCAGGCTTTAGCTACACGACCAATACTTCTAAGAAGGATCAATTCATTGTTGGTTTTTGGCTTTTGGGCTTTGCCTTGGTTTTTTCTGCTATTTGTTGACAACAAGAATAATCTAAAAGATCCCAAGACTAATCCTTTCAAATGTACAACAGTGACTCATGGCTAACATGTATATGTGAACAAAGTAGTTCGTTTATTGAAGCTGACAGGGGGTCCATTGTAGGTGACATGAGAGATGCATTACTTTAATCTCATTGGAAATCAATATTGTATGAAACATTAAAACAAAATGTGGTCGTTCTCCATGCTGGGTCACAAAGGCAGCTGCATAGTTATGTACAAACTGTGACATGGCCAAAGCATAAAGCACGAACAAACAAACTAGTAGGCATGAATATTTCAACAGATCAATACACACACAACCCCATTACACTCCACTGCACATGTCATGTTACCTTGTAGAGAGCGAAGGTCCTGACAGAGTAGGTGGCCAGCTCCACTGTGTCCAGCAGAGTGACCTGGATGAGGCCGTAGGTCTCTGTGCCCCGTGTTGGCCAGTACTGATCACACTTCACCTACAAGGGGAAGAGGTAAGAAGCTGTGAGAGATGCAGAGCAGTTTGTATATGCCTGTACACATGTTTGTAAAAGAACAAGAAAGAAATATAGCTGACTTTGGTTCGTGTGCTTGTGTACAGAGGCAAAAAGGAAGGGAGTTTTGAAGCTTATCGGTTAGAGTTTCTGCAAATAAATGTTTGGAAAAAATGTGCGTTTTGCGACAACCCAGTGTGTGAAAGCGGTTTTAGTAAGTTTGTGGGGTGAAGAGTAACAGACAGAGAGGCAGGGGAGAGAGTCCTGCATATGTTGTGCTTTAAATACTAGAGAGCTGTACTCCATGAGAATGCCATATGTTGGTGGGTTCTCACTTATAGCCAACACAGTGCTGGAAAAATCCACTGACACCTCAAGCTGAGCCCTCACATATTTTATGCTGTACATCGAACTACATTCCAACCTCACACATCCCTACAAAAATACTTCCTGCACAACAAATCCCAGATTCCTTGACCACCAAGACACCTAGGATTCCCTTGAATAAATCAGCCATATTTGTAGTTCTTCTCCTCAGCCTCGGAGACCACAGACAAGATAGGAAAATATCCCAGAGGAGGGCCTTGGCAGAATCAGGCCAAACCAAACGTTATGTGCTGATCCCTCCAGTCCTCACATCAAAGACAGCAGGGAGCTCAGCTCAGCATTCCACTGCTCCAGACTTGGGATTATGCGTTTTGGCCCGGGACGTTCAGCCTGTAATTACAGCTTTTCAACTGTTGTTTTCCCACCAGACCTTGAGACACTATGGGGACAGGAACGGTTGTCCACGTAGGGGGGCCAAACCCTGCCAAACACTGACAGGATCGCAGTAAATGCCTGTTGTGAAGACTTTATTATTCATCGGTATATTTGCTTAAAGGAAAACTGCCGTGCTCTTGTGTGGTTTGATTGGTGCTAAAAGGAAGGATACTGGCAAGATTCCCACTGTGGGACCATCTGTGATCATCTCTGTTGTTCTGTAATGCGTGAACACATAATGGCGTAATGTTGAGAGGTGTTAAATTAGATTCAATCATTTTCTCCAACAAGCAGCTCACTCCTCGCTCAAACCGTAGATATAGTAGTAGGGGACTTATAATAAACAGTTAAATACAGTTCAATTGGCTGCTTCTGCTGTTGCATCATGTTGTAACTACCTTATTGAATTGGGAGAATGTAAAGCTTAGCAGTCATTCACAAGCTAAAGATGAATCATTTTTACGAGGCAGTGGCAGCCAACAGCTTACAATGAGGTGATTTACAGTCCTTCATTATGTACTGAGTCTTTCTTCAATAGCTAAATCCTATCCTGCATAGCCAACAGACAGAAACATAGAAACACAGTTGTGCATGTGATCATGCAAACTGAAGACACTAATGTGCACTGTTTTTTGACCTGGAGGGGGTTACAATAAACTACATCTCGGACCAAGTTAACTATGAGTGCCTTTAGGTGAGTTGAAAACAATCCTGCATTCCTACTCAAAACATTGGCATTAGGAGAAAAAGGGTAGAAAACATCAGAAAAAAGGGCACTGAAAAGGGATAAAAGGTAAGGAGAAAACCATGTGAGGTGAGGTTGCATTTCAAAAGGGATTAGCAAAGGAGAGAAAGAGAGGTCTTGCCTTAGAGAAGAAATAAGAGGGCATCTGAGGGTCAAACAGACACAACAGAGACAGTTGGGAAAGGTTGAAAAGGAAACAGAGTTTAACACAAGACACAGGTTAGTAGGAAACGAAGCACAGATGAGAGGAAAGGATCATTTTCCGAACACGGCTCTGGACATAATTGCTTTGCGCTTAATCATGATTCACACCTCAAGCCATCCTTGTTAATTTCATTCTAACATGACATGCTCATTACATTGCATTTTTACTCAAGTGTATATTCTGTTAACAACAGAACAATTCCTTTGAGCTAAATGATTTTCTAATTCATTACCTACCCCTATTTAATTCTTCTTGTAATCCCCCTAGGTCTTGCTCACCAATCTAATCCATTATATTGTACTGTACTGTATTTTGATTAACTACATGCCACCTTGTGTTATCCTACATGACGGATTTCATTTCTTACTTTACCACTGCACTTTAAGGTCGGTCATCGTATCGGTTGCTTTTTGGTTTATTTAATAAGCTTATTTTCTGTACTTTATGACACGTCCTTGTGTTTTGTCTTACTCCTTTTCTTGGTTATCCTGTTCCTTCCATATTTTAAAAAAGTGTAATGTCCTGCCGTGCCTCATTCCTCCTCACTGCTCTCAAATCAACCATATCCAATCCTATATTCTAGCCATACTCAACTCTAACCTAACTGTTCTTTATTTCACAGTTATTTTATTACTTACTTTACTGTAATTGAACTTTTATGGCCATGTCTTCTCACCTCTATTCTACTAAATCAAGCTGACTTCTACTTCTTCCACAACCCATCCTGTTCTCTTACACACATTATCTTACCCTTCTGTACCCAAGTCCTCATTTTAACATACTTTTCGCTTTCCTTTCTGAATGACCATCAATCCTATCTCACGCTAAACATCTTACTCTACACTGCACCTTCTTCACCCTTTACTGTGCTGACTGTGGGATGTCCGGCTGCACTTCACACTACATGTCACTGCTGACACTTCCTCAATCATCTGAAAAGCAGAATGCTGCAAATAAATAATGGATTACATGAACAGCATAGCATGTAGCCTACCTAAGCAACTTGCCTGCTGATGTACACTGGCACAGACCGAGGATAAAAAGGTGTGCCACGCTTGTCAGGATTTAAGAAATGCAGTAGGAGTACTCCTTTTAAGGTCTTTGGCATTTATTTAAAAAATATGTAGTGTTCAAATAATGTTTCACTTCACAGTTTTTGCTTAAAATTTTTTTCTTCGGACATCATTAATATACAGATTCTAATTGTTTTATCCAGTGTGTAGCTAACCTGAACTGGTAATAATACAGGATGACTCGAGGAAACTCTAGTACATGTATACCTTATATACTGAATACCAAATTACCTCACCATACCCAACACAAATGCTTCCTTATGTCTCTCAATTTTTCCCAATGTATTCCACAATGTCTTGTGTTCTGTGCTATCTGTGCAAATCCTACCAAACCATTCGACAAAGAGAAAAACCTACTTAATATTGCATCCTGACATTTACCCAATTTCCAGACTGACCTATCTTCTCCTGCTCCTCCCTATTCTGCCTGATTCTTTTTTATTACATCCCACCTTTCCCTTTTTCTTCTCTCGAAAATCAATATTGTGGTGGCGCAGTGCTGTGCTACCCTGTCCTTGCTGTCCCATATTCCCATGTTATTCCATCCCTCTATTTCTTACCCGTGATTTCTCCTCCAGCTTGGTCATCATTATAATGTTCGCTGTGTGCTGCTCCCAGACCAACCTCCAGAAATCCCCAAAAGTCTCAGGTAGGGACCCCTGGGTGGCAATATAGGCATTCTGTCGGCGGTAGCCATCAATATAGTTAGCATTGATGTAGTCACTGCCGGGGACACCTGCGTAATGAAGAAAAAGTTGAAGTTAGGGAGAATGTTGAAACAAATGATGTGTGCAAGGTGAGAAGTTGAATGAATTGTGATGAAGGTTGAAGAGAATAAACAGGGGAACAGATGTGTGAGGCCGATGCAACTGATGCTGAAATATGCATCAAATGTCTTTCCACTGCATCATATGTATTATGAATGGCATCAGGGTGGAATGTCTCTGCACTGATCACAAGAAGATCGTATCTGTCTGTGTAATTTCCTTTACAGATGAACCCGATTCTTACTATGATTTACGGTGAAATAATCTATATGGATTACTTAAAGTCTGCTGCGATGAAATCAGGTTTATGTCTCAGTAATAAAAGGTACAGACCATCTGAGGTCATGGCGGGGAGATTAATGTTTCCACAGGGCCAAGCGTCCTTTGGTGTTGGATTGTTCAGCCATCTTGTTTTATAATACATGCTAAAACGATCATGGGCCTAATCTGACTACACTCTCGATGTGTCGCTTTGAATGGCAATATGACTGTAAGGCCGTCTCTGTGTAAGACTCAGCTGACACTGCTTGTCCTGGAAGGGATTGTGTATAAGTGTGTGTGTCTGTGTGTGTGTGTGATGTGAGAGACCATCTGTGTGTGTTTGATTTAGGATCAGTCCTGCTCATCTGGGGCCTAATACCATAATCCCAAAAATCACTGAGTCACAGCTCAAACATGCACACATACACCAAAACACCAATGTACACACACAGGCATACACACAAACGTGTACGCGTACATTCAGCCGTGACCCGATTCTGCTGAAGTGGGACACAAAACTCCTTTTGAATCGTCTAATAGCAGTTTACACTTAAAAAGATAGAAGTCAATGAGCAAACAGTTGAATCCCGACAGGAAGAAACTCCTGCAGCTGATCTTTTCTGTTGCAGCCTATTGTAAGAGCACGATTCAGTCCCAAAGTAAAAAAAACCACGTCTCGCACACACATGCCTCACACACACACACCTCACCCACACACACACACACACACACACACACACACACACACACACACACACACACACACACACACACACACACACACACACAAACAAGCTGACACTTAAATGACAAAGCAGAACGGGGTTTTTACACAATTTATTCTAAATGGGATGAGGACAGACGGTAAGACGAGCTTCTAACATATGTTTATCAACCTCAGTCTATAAAAGACAGCTTTGCTAACTGCTTTGATGTGCTACAACTTTATTGCAAGGGACTACAGCAGAAGCACTGTGCAGATAAAACACACACATACACACACACACACCCTTCCAGTCTCTTGGTGGCTACCCTGGCTTGGCAGAGAGTTCGTGTTCATGCAGCATGTGTGGAGGAGACTGGGAGCAAAAGTGCATATCTGTGCTTGTGCAAATCCTGGGCATGTGTTTTAAATCTATGGAAAAGTGTGTGTATACGTGAGTGTGGGTTGTGTGTGACATGCTCAAGAGTATATGTGTTTTCTAAACTGAAAGAAAGACAGACAGCCAGAGCTCCAGGACAGGAGGGGGTGGAAGGACTGCTCACACATGCTCTGCCCAGATAAGGCTCATCTGTTTGGGCTTGGCCTCCCACTGCCTCCCTCTCTCCACTTTCGAGCTGCCAGTTTCTCTGCCTCAGGTCTTTCCGAGCTGAGGTGGGTGAGTGCGCATCAAAACGCACACTGAGAGCAAGACTGAGAGTTTTTTTTTTTTTCAAAAGACCAAATTTAGACGAATGGACATACCGTGAAAATATATTAGTGAATACATAATTAATAAAATGTGAGCTCATTTATCTCCATTAACATTAAAATGGTGAGAGACCGCATCAAATATATGATGTGGTGGCAATATTTATCCTGAAATGATATTTTTATGGCTGATGAAGTTAAAGCCCTTTGTGTGAAAATGAGAAATGGCAATGTAATGCATCTTTGGGCTATTAATATCGCATCCGTCATGGATTGCAGCTTTCACACACACACACACACACACACACACACACACACACACACACACACACACACACACACACACACACACACACACACACACACACACACACACGCTTCTATAATTGTGATGGCTTTCATTGAACAAATGTAATCCATAGCCTCTGTTTCCAACCCTATCCCAACTTCATTCCCAGTCTAAACCCTTGGCCCAATATTAATCCTGAAACCATGTCATAAACCTCCAAAAGCCTGTTTAAAAAGGCCAACATGCTGTCACTTCCTAATAATGACCTGTTTCTTACCCTCAATGCTGGAGAGTATGACTCTGGAGTGATCATAGGCAATGACGTTAGCATAGCGGTTCTTTGGTTTGTTGACCTCCAAGTTGGAGTTCTCCCATGTGAACTGCTGACCGGGGTCGATGGACTACAACACACAAAAGACAAGGTCAAAGAACAAATAGGAAACATCAACACTATATAACGGAAAGTACCACCGTTAACCTCTGTTATATTTAATTTAATACTGTTATAATATCATGCTTATGCTAAATGCATAACTGCCTAATAAGTGTATGTTGGCAAAGACTTTGTTATTTCTTAAAATCTCCCTTGAAATTCAGATAATGGCATCTAGAAAAGCCAGAAGCAACTTTAAGCTCACACACATTTTCCAATGTTGCTGCAGCAAAAAAATACAGCATTAGAAACCAAGTACAAATTGAACATTAACTATATATATATAACTATATATTACTGAACTTGAACAGGAATGTCGGCAAATATGATATCCCATTTCAAGAAACACCAGCGATGTAGGGACTTTCCGCTTTCTCTACCAGAGAAAGATGATAAAAGCACAATACATTCCTCTGGGAGAGAAAGGATGGCTGTGTTAGACCAACACATTAAGTTCCTGGAGGGTAATTACAGTGTAACCATCGCTGTTAGCTGGAAGAGGCAGACATGAGGTCATTATTGGGCTGTCAATGGAGAGGGACGAAGAGGAGAGAGCCAGAGCAATTTAGCAATTTTGAATATTTTACCACACATAATTATGGTTTGGTTAGGGAAAAAATGGACCAGAGTGGTACTGGTTGAGTGCATGCGTGTATGTGTGTGTTTGAGACTGCTTTCCGCGCACTGCCCAACATCATGTGTGTCTGATTATTACACCGCAATCATTTCTGGCCTCTCTCTCTCCCTCAGTGCTTCCTCCATCCATCTCTCTCGTTCCCTCGTTGAGGGTTCAGCACCGAACAAAGCACACAGTCATGCAGAGAGAATGCGGGGCTCAACAGAGTGGTTCAACTCACACCACAATTACATATAGATCTCCCTCACTGTCTCTTCCACCCTCCTTTATCCATTTCTCCTTAAAACATCCTCGCTCTGTTTTTGTCTCCTGCATAATGTGTCCTTGTCTTGATTTATATACATATCTCTGTCACCCACAATTTATCTTTCTCTTGTCTTAGCCAATTTGACCCTTATGCCTGCTTCTTCACCTCGAGGCCGTCGGTCTAAAATTATTAGATTTTATTGCAAAAAGATTTTTTTTTAACCCTTTTAACAGCTCTCTGTGGGGTTCATTGCAATGCCAGTACCATTTGCTACACAGTCAGCATGTTGGGTAATATGCCACTGAAGTGTTTTTGTTATTTAGTCCAGCAGTTCAGCACACCAAGTTCAGGCACGTTGTTGTATTAACTGTGCGAAAAGTTGAAGAGAACTAATCAGAATTTTTTTTTTAATAGAGAACACTGGCTTCATGTATCTCTTGGTGAGTGTTCTCTCTCCAAAGCAAACTCTTTATTTATATCTCTATTGCCCCTCTTCCTCTACCAGAGCGTAGAAATAAGCACTAGATAACCATCTGGCTGTAAGCAAACTCTCTTTGAGCCTGCAATTTCAATTTCCCCCTTATATTTGTAAAGATAACGACAAGGAAAGGAAAATGTGTGTTATCTGGTATCGTTCAATGAGGATGAATCAAAGTGCATCTTAACTTTGGACACTACATGAGGCTCAATCTACAGCGCTGGCAAACTGAGCTTATAAAATATGCAGAGTCAACAATAAATATGTGTTTGATTGCATCAAAACCAGATGAATTCACCAAGTTGAAAGATATTCAGGGACAGATAATCAGCATTCCTACCTCGTACTCTTGGGAGAACTTGAGATTGTCGTTTGCCTTGAGGCGCTCAGTGTGATCTGCCAGCTCAGAGATGGGGACAGGCGGGTGACTTGCCATGCCTGCCGTGCAGAAAAAAAGAAAAAGAGGCCTTTTAGATACATGTAGAAAAAAAGTTTGGGGAGGAAAATGTTAAGAGCAAGGATTCTCAGAGGTGGTGTTGTTTAGTGTTCTGTCCACAGTCAGCGGAGGAAGCAAATGGAGGTGTTTTTTTGTGTTAAGTGACCATTTTCTCTCCGGGCGGACAGAGAGAACAATGTGCGTGCTCTGAAAGTTACTGAGGCACAATAACATGTCCTCAGAGTGAATGCACACTGCTGGTGAAGACAAAAAAAGACTGTGAACAGGCGGTTAAACATTTAGCATGAAGATTTTTTTAGGGTTTCACAAAGAAATATTCCAGAGGCATTTTTTATGAAATGTTGTCAATTCAAGCAGCTTCATCCTATATGGGATGGAAGGTTAGTTAGCCTGAACATGGGAGAGAAAGTAGAAAAAGAAAGAAAGAAAGAAAGTAGAGATAGATTGAAATAAAGAAAGAGATCAAATGAATACGGTAATATGGAAAACAATGACAGCAGAAAGAAGATCTATGATCTATAGCGGACTAAGACCAACTAACTTGACAAACGGCGATAACCGCGGTACACTGATACACGGTAGGCTGAAAAGGGAAACAACACCACAGTTAATCTTATAAAAACAACTAATATGTCACACATCTATCTCCAACCAGTGTCAGTATGTGTATAGAGATGTCTCTAGTTTACCTGGAGTCTGGAAGTTGATTCTGCGTAGCTCCACAGGGTCAGTGGGATTGTGGGACGACATGGCTTTGCTGCAGGGGAAACTGGCTTTCCTGCCTTCAGCCTCGGCCCTTTTCCTGGAAAGACAGATCAACACGCAGCATTAACATGTACCTCAAGCTGATGAATTGAAACCTTTTACTGCATAACATCTTATTGTAATCGTACACGTAACCACAAATTATTGGGGGATTTGTGTTTTTTCCAGAAATATTGGAATAACTGATTCTCAGAACGTTGCCGTATCAATTTAGCCTAAGCTCTAGTTGACTGCTGGTTTGGTGTGGCTGCTTTTTCATATGACTTTGCTTGTTGTCTGGAAAGGAGGAAGGTTTTTTTCACACACACACACACACACACACACACACACACACACACACACACACACACACACACACACACACACACACACACACACACACACACACACACACACACACACACACACACACACACTCCCAGGAATGAACAGTAACATCTACTTGATTATTTCTTTTTATGCTAAAATCACCGACATGAACAAACTCAGGGAGAGCATTTGTCTATGTCTTTAATTGTTGCTTTTATGCCTTCTTTCTTTTTATTCAGTGCAGGTAACTATAAACTCATCTAAGAAACATCAAGGTAATCCTGACTCTACTGGGATCCATTATCCAAAGCATTCTTTGCAAAGGCTTTTCAAGGAAAATACCCCTGTAGGACAGAGGAAATGGTAATAGGCAGTGTTTGTTTACCTGTCAGGTTTGCTGGATCCAAACAGGGAGAAGAGGAGATAAAAGGACAGACAAGGATGAATAACATTAGTGTCCAATCAGAAAAACATCAGGGACTGAGGCTGATCTCATCGTTCTCTCATTAAAACTCATCACTTTCATGTTGAAATGTTAGATACGTTAATTGCACCTCCTATAGACACAGAGATGACAGCAAATCTAAATGACAAAAACTCTTCCTCTGATTTCATAAAGCACTGCATACATATTTACACACCCTATTACTGTGACATCTACTTTATAATTTATCATACTAATACTATGTTGCAGCTCAGCCACTCCTGAGACATTAATGACTGTTTACACTTTAGGGCTTATGAACTTTAGAATATTACCATAAAGGTTAATACTTTTGCAATACCACAGTCACAGCAATTATTCATGTGCAGTAACAAAGCTCCATCCAGCAGAACAGATGATTATCACGAATAACGCTAATGAGCGCTAATGGTATTTCCCCCTATCTGTTTTGTGAGCTCCCTGTACATAGATTTTAAGAACAAATTATTAAAGAAACAAGCAATTAAGTGCACATAACAATTAGTAAACAAAGCGATAGGGAAGTTAATTGTGTCGCCAGCAGCAACGCAGGAAAGCAATAAATAAACCTTAATGTTTGTTTCATAAATAGTGGGAACACATAATGAAACAGCTGGGCTTTGTTCAGTCTCGGCTCGATTCTGAGGTAAATCAAAATGTTTTGCCAATAGTTTAGGTGTAGGTCCAAACTATTTACCCATTAAAGCAGAGGTTTCTGAGGGGGTTTGAAGGAAGAATAACAAGAATAGTGATACAAATAAATGAATATGAACCTTTTCAATGTATCCAAGTCAATACCTTTTGACATTAGAGTAGACTGGAGGTGTATGGGGGCACAGTTGTCTTATTTTTTATCTCATTGGGGGCCCACACTGTCAGACTTTGAAAAACTCTGCCCTAAAGCAAAATTCCAGACAACTTCAGTTTAGAGAAGGATAATACATTTTGCGCCCCTGTCTGAGAGATAACTGACATCATTATTTCTTCATGACCTTACTCTGTCGAAGGTGATTTACAAACTGCTGATTAAGATGGAACAGTCTAACTACAGGTAATGAATATATTAAAATATGAATAAAACATATATTCGTTACCCAAAAATATTTTAAGTTGAATACAGAGAGGAGCCAAAAACAAGTAAATCCCAGTAGAGTATCTGTTGCCCTTGAAGACATAAGCTAACTTTGTAATTATTTTTCTTATCTCGTATTCACAAGAACATGTAAATCCTTCACCCTGTCTCTTTTGAACCTCCTTGCTCCTTCTCTCATCAATCACAATCATTTATTAAACCATGTTTTACATCTTCCTTCCTCCATGATGCTGCTTTTACCTCTTGAAGAGGAGAATGGCGATGACGATGCAGACGATGAAGATGACAGCCAACACAGGCCCAACCACCCACAGTAGACCCTCTTCCTCGTCAACGATTGGCTGAGGGTCCACATCCGATGAGGTCACAGGATCCGAATAGGGGCTGGTGGAGTACATAGTCTGGAGGAAAGCATGGTTTTATGCGTTAATAAAATTGCATTTATAAAAAACTGCATTTAGATGATTGAACTGCGGGGGGGGGGGGAGGGGATTGTGTTTTCACTCACGTTCTCAGAGAGGTCTAGCAGCGCAAGCACAAAGAAAACATATTCCTGTCCGTTTTGCAGTGGACGGTTGCGGAAGTCACCGTAGTTTCGGCCATCTCCTAGTGTGAACTCCAGGGGGAGGGTCTTAAAATGAGCACTGACATAAGCTCTAGGTTCTGATTGGCCAGCCTGTCTGCGGACACGGAGGGCTCGACTGACGCTGGTCCTGTTGATCTCTTTCAGGAGCTAAACGGGAAGACAGGGTTAAACAGAGGAGAGGGATGAAGTCAAGATAATTGATACAAACTTTGAAAGTTTAACAAAAAGGTGATAAATGAAAATGGGGAAATAACAAATTCCTAAGTGTTTATATATATATAAAAAAACATGTACAAAAAATTACAATTTGAGCAATTTCACCTCACACAAAAACCCTCATCAGTGGAGGAACAATGGGCTGTAAAGGGCTTTATCACCTTGGCACAAATGCCTTCATCATCAACTAAATTGCGATTGCATTTATCTATTGAGACAGTCCGACACATTAAACCTCTATTGAAACATGAATGTGCTTTCATAACAGCGTAATGGAGCTAGGAAGTCTTTAGAAAAAGGCAGGAAGTGAAATTAGATGGAAAATATTGTTTGGATTAAACAAAACAATGGATGGCCAGGTCATCCACCTTTGCATAATAAGACACAAATGATCTGATGAATAGAGTGGAAAAACCCTGCCAGTAAACTCAGCATTATTCTCTGGTGTCCTGTTGGTGACTGGAAAATGAAATTGAAAATACTTTATTTATCCCTCGAGGGAAATTAAAAAATGTTGCAAGCAAATGTACAAATAGAAATGTAAAAAAAAACAACTAAGGCTTAATGGTATTGACCTGTCCATAGCTGGCATATCAAATCCAACACCAACAAGGCACAAGTCAACAATGTCATAATCACATTACCCAGTTAATCATCATTACCCCCCCTCAACATTAGCATTACCTTATAATAGGTTCTTTAATGTGATTATTATTTAGCTGTTTATTAAAATAACCTCCTGTCTGCTGCATGTCTCACCTCATCCAGGTTCATCTGGTCGGGCTCCTCCCAGGGATTCAGAAACTTCCCTGCTCTCTGCTTCTTCAGCGGCACCACCACCACATAGTAACCCCTAAAACACAGCAGGTTCAGATTTAAGGACAGTCTCATATTTACTGTACAAAACTGTCACTTTTCCATGAAAACCACAGATGTCTATTTTGTATTTTCATTTTCTTTATCACAGTTTCTTTTTATTCTCATTTGAGATGTATAAACCTCTTATTATGTATTAATTTTACTTCTCTGTTGATCTTCTTATTGCTGTCATTTTGCTGCAAGAACACATTTACCCACTGGGGATCCATAAGGGTTAATCTTCAAACTTACCGACACACATGAGTGGAATTGATTATGCTGTCTAACTCTCAGAAGGAAAGTGAATACAGATGGTTCCCAAAATAATATGCTTCAAAGAACTATGGAGTATTGTATTATTAATACAGTATATAGTGCAGCAAGAGCAGCAGCTGTGACACCGCACTCTAAATCTAAACAGTGTGGCTGTTTTTGGAACAGAGGGCCATGTCTGAAGTCATGTGCGAGACAAAAACAATAATACCACTAGGGTCGGGGAAAGAAGTCAGAACATAAGCAGACGCCAAGCGATGAGGGCACTGACACCAAACTCATACATGTGTCCTCAGATGACTCACTGCAGTGCTCTATGCTACTACGTTGAGTGGTACAGTATGAAGCTTATTTGTGTAGGTTTGTTATAGCTGTAATGCAAGCAAGATTAAATGATTTGTGCTTAAAAATATATATAAAATAATATGGCATTTTTTGGCAAATTAGGTCAATATGATCATCTTCAACAAATAAAAAAAAGTGTTTGCAGATGTTTTTTACAGTGTGTATTACTATCTTGAATCAAGGCATCTGAAAGGGGAAATACTCTTGTTTCTGTAAAGAGCGAAAGAGCAAAATGCTGTTTGGGACTCCAAGAATCCCCCGAACACTTCTGATGTACGGGAACAAACTGCAGGAAAGTGGCTTTAAGAACATGTTCTGTAGCAGTGGAGGGAATCAGGTTGTGCTTTAAGGCTCAAGGACTGCTTCCACGTGATATCTATATTTGTTATTGGTTATAAAAAAAGAGAGATGAGATTATCAGCTTTGTGCTTTCATTTGGCCTGTTGTGGGAGTTCTCAGACTTGCTTTGCTGCCAGCTCAGAGAAATCCTCTGTGATGGAAAAGCAGCAGTAGGAGGAACAAGTGAAATTGGAGTATATTCTGCAATGCCTACTATTAAATAATGCTACCATTTAATCATTATATTATAAAATAATTTCCCCTCTCACTCTCTTACTCTCATTCATCATCACTACCTGACTTTGGCGGTGGTCTGCACAGTGGGCAGCTGCACTGTCACCATGCCGTCAGCGTTGGTCTTTCCCACCACCATAGGTTTGGTTTTCAGGATGTCTGGGGCGGTGGTGACGGTGACGCGGTGCTGCAGCCCCCCCGCACTGTTGGCCCGGTTAGTGAGTAAAAAGGAGTATTGCGTGTCTGGTTCCAAGCCAGTGATCAGCTTCTGGGTCAGCTTCCCATCCACTTCCACAGACTCGCCCTTTCCATACAGGATCTGGTCACAAGGTAGGTCACATAGTTTGAGAGTTAAATTAAACACAACATAGGGTTACACACTTTGTAAGTTCTCAAACAGCCCCGAGGAGGCTATCCATTTTTAATGTAGCTGTTTTATTTTCACATTTGAATATACTTTAGTACAAAGTCTCCATGCTTTTGCCTGTAGTCTTGTAAACATCTCTATTTATTTTAGATCAAAAGCCTCAGACTTAATCATTATCAATCAGAAAATGTTAGTTTGTTTTCAGGCAACCTAACACAGGCATTTGTTTGTACATCATTTGAAACCTGTCCTATTTGAAATCTTTTTTTTTTTTTTTACTACATTTAATATGATAAAAGGTACATCTACTCACAGTAAATGGCTGGGAAGGGTTCTTGTCTCGGATCTCCCAGGACAGCAGAACAGAGTTCTTCATGGCAGCCTTCACTTTGAAGTTGGTGGCAAAAACTAAGGTAGAGAAAAAAATAAACTATTAATATGATTAAATTCTCAATTCATCTCTCTACTGAACCAGAATGAAAGCCTTACCTGTGTTCCTTCTCTAGTACTAATCTCAAGATAGCTATCTACTCTGACCAACCCACAGCGAGTGTGACTGGACAGGGACTCTTACCTTGTTAAGGAAAAGGACGTTGGGTCTAAGACTACAGTGACAAGACAACGAGAAAACGACACTTAGGATGATGTCACCAGTGTTTGTGTGCAAGTGGAGTTTTAGTGTGCACAATGTACTGTATGCACAAAGTGCAGTTAGGAAGCACTTCCCGAGCAATGATGATGGGTTGTTAGAAAGGGAGTCCTACCTTGGTCTAGCCGCTGCGTCCTAAACTGAACGCTGGGGCTGTACGGCCCCGGGCCAACAGCTGTGAACGCGCACAACCTGACATCATACACAGTGTCGGCACTCAGACCCTCGAACAAAACACTCAACCCTGGATTGGGTACCACAACTTCTGAGGCGTTCCCTCGACTGTTTATATCCTTGAACAGCAACGAGTACTTCATTATTTTCCCATTTCGCTCAATGAGTGGGACTGATTTCCATGCCAGTCGGAGGGAGGTGGCAAAAGCCTCCTCTAGGATGATATGTTCTGGGTATCCACTTGGGGCGTCTTCCGGAGTAGTCAACTCCTTTACAGCCTCCTCTCCGTAGCCCATTTTGTTACGGGAGGAGAGTCTGAACACATAGTTAGCTCCCTTGTGGATGTCCTGGGCGGTGTAGCTGTTCTCCTTGGTCGGGAACTCCACCACCGTGAAGGGAAGGACATCGATGCGGCCGAATGTGAGGCGGTACCCGAGGAGAGGGGTGGGCTGGTTGGGAGGTGGGTACCACTGAAGCAAAGCAGTACCTGAATCAGTGGCACTCACCGTCAATTTGGGTTTTTCAGGCACTAGAAAGAGGGAAGAGCAGAAGAGAGAGAATGATGAAAAGATAATTAGAGGATAATTGCACATCACATCATTCATAACCTCAAGCAAAACTGCAAAATATGATTAATGTGGCGGCAAGAAATGACTGGCTTCATTTTGGCATATAAAGGTGTTACAGAGTGAGAAATATAACAATTCAATGATTGAATGGGCTCTAATGACCGTTATTGATGCTTTATTCTCAAAGATCATTACAAGTTATGTGAGTGCTGATTCTAGCTCCAAGCCTGTCTGTATGTTTGTGTAAGAGTTGGTGCTGACACACTTACATGGCAGGGCGCTACAGACGGTAACAGGTTTGCTGCGAGCGCCATCGCCCTTAGCAGTGTAAGCCCCCACTGATACAGAGTAGGCTGTGTCTGACTTCAGGTCTCCAAGAACCACCTCCTGCAGAGAAACAAAAAGCACTGTCAGCTTCAAAAGCCTATTTCTCTGTGCCCTCAGAACAAGGAGCAGGGCTTCAATTTAATAAAAAGTATGGGTCAAACTGGTAAAAGAAACAATTCTATCCTCTTTGTCTGTATCTTTGTAGGCAGATATATTTAGCTCTTTTCTAAACCACCATCACTACAGGCCAGGGAATCCAATAAACACATTGTTTCCTCCAAATGTAGAGTTGATTTGTGATCATCTCAACAAAACTCAAAACAGCTTTATTCAATCATACCTTCAGAGCTTAAAATGAAGTTCACAAGCAACACAAAATGTAATTACAAACACATTCAAAACTCATTTAGTTTGGTCTCCATCTAAGCACTAAACAACTATATTTTCTTCTTTTTTTGGCCTTGGGAAAGCATTAATACCGTGGTATTTTGGCAATACCCCACAGATGACTCATATCATCACTTATCTATGTGTTTTTCCAGGGTCCTTTATTAAAAATCCTGCAGAACAAACATTGAAGAAATGAAAAAAGGGGCCTTGTGCTCGATTGTAAACCCTCGCTCTGGATATAGGAGGTTTTTAATCTACAATCTCATAAATATGACTCATCTACTATCTGTGCTTTGTTGTGTTACGTTATTTTTGTCAGTAACTAGTACTCTAACGCGTTATTTTTTTAATTCAGTAACTCAGTTACCGTTACTACATGGTGCGTTACTCCGTTATTTTTTTTATATAGTCTCGGCTCCCAGACGTTGGTGAGCGGCGCCAACAGCGAGGCGAACAGAGATGAAAACTGTACTTAAGTACAGTCAGTGGCGGCACCAGGGTATGGCTGGGGTAGGCTACAGCCATACCAAGAAATGGCTTAGCCCGACCTTAGCCCGACCATGAAAAAGTATGTTAAAGTAAGCATGTTGTTAACACGGATTGCGAAAATCTACCGGTCGTGTCCACAACACACAAACTGATCCTGCTGTAACAACAAGTGCAGGTTACTGACGCAATATGGTTGATACCATTCGGGCTTATGCTAGAGGGGTGCAAGGAATAGTCTAAGTAGTGGGGGAGTTTTATACACTAGGTGTGGAAATTATTTCGTGTTATAATATCAGCGCGGCCGCGGTCAGATCAAAAATGCCTCCGAATGCAATTTGAATAGACCTACAGCCAATCAGAGCAACGAAACGTTGGGTCTGCTCAGAGTCATAGAGATATAAGATTTCTCTCTAGGGATCTGGGTCTTCTGCGTCATGCATTACTGATACGTCACGTTCACAGTGAAAAGTCCCCAAACTCGCGCCGAGTAAATTGCAGACAGACAGCAGAACTTCTAGGATTAATTGTGATATAGTGTGTATGTCATTACATTACAAATACTGATTTGAGAACCACCACTGTATGGGTTAGCCCTACCATAGATTACCCAACAAAAATAATCTGGCTCCGCCACTGGCTGCGGAACCTAAGCTAGTGAAGCTAGTAGCTAAGACCACAGACCCAGACTCATCCGACGCCACTCCACCTCCACCTAAGCAACAGCGGCTGGATTTTAACCGAGGGACTTCTAGCCAGGGAAAAGTTGATAAAGCCATTGCCAGGTATGTTGTAGAACACATGCAGGATATTTCTACTATTGCTATTTCTTGATCAACAGATTGTATTATTCTCCAATGCAATAACAGTACTGAAATGAAGGCTATAAGCCTAAGGGCATTAATGGGAGCCCTTTTTTCAAGTAGCTAATGCGTTACTGCTCACAGTAACGCGTTACTTTTGGGTGTAAGTAATCAGTAAAGTAACTGAGTTACTTTTGAAATGAACTAGTAATGGTAACTAGTTACTGGTTTTCAGTAACTAGCACAACACTGGTTATCAACTATTAAATAATAGACTTAAAGATTGGTTTACTCACATATTCAGCTGAGTCATCATATTCCCACTGAATGATGTAGGGAGGAGAGAAATAGAAGACAAAAAGAGTAACAATTAGTATTCGGGATATGATCTAAATGACCGAACACTCGAGTCAAATGTAAAATATTTGCTGTCATCGAAGTATACATTTAAACTCTCTGCAGGAAGGCAAATAAGCATAAAGTATTTCCTGGGACGTCAAAATGTTTTTTATAGATGGTTTCTACTAAATTTGTCAGTTAATTTTGTATAATTCTTCATCACCAATAACTTCTCTGTTGTAATTACTAAATATATAATAATAAAAATATATAAATATATCTATTACAACTAATAATACAACTTTCTTTGTACTTTCTTTATATAGATAGAGGATTTTTTTCTTGCTCAATATCCATGCTAACGAAAATGCTGAGGGAGCTTAAAACGTTGTATGGCTTTAATGTTTAACTTTGAACTTAATATGATCATCTATAATTAATATGACTGTATTTAAAAAAGTGGGCTCATTTAAAATATTGGTTAGCATTCTTAAAACATTCCTATAACAGTTCATTAGATCATAAGGTGTTAGTGTTACCTGAGAGTCCTCTATGAGGATGTCCTTGATGAACGGCTGACCCTGAGGTTCTCCGTTGTTCACCCTCACATAGTGGACTTGGTATCCTCGGACCTGACCGTGCTGCCGTTCGGGCGCTGGTGCTCGCCATTTCACCCTAACGGCCGAGGCGTTCACAGTCTCTGCCTCCACCCCTCGCGGAGGACCACTTGGAACTATAAATGCATTTATAGAGGTCAAGGGTCACAGATGATGGGCACTCAAACCTCTCAAGTTAAGGTCTTTAGTTTTTATAATCAAAAATATATTGGTTTCAGGGGTAGATGAAAAAGAAAAAATACCTAAAGCTAAAAAAATTTAAAAATACAACAACTCCAAAAAGTGTAAAACTGCCATGATGTCTGGGAAAAAGTCAAAATAGTAAAAAAAATGAGTGCTTGAGAAAAACATGGAGGAAAAAAGCAGTGGACGATAAGAAGCAAATGTAGAGAAAGATAAGAATGGCAGATAGAAAAGGATTTGTTGCCATAGGCAGATAAACAGTGGCAAGCTGAAAAGAGCAAATACTGTTATCAAGAAAAACCTCTCTCATGCTGACAAGAACTATCTCCCAAAGAGAAATAGAAATACATATCGTCTCCAAACTGGAAAAATGGAGGCATTGGGAGTATGAAAGAGTATGATTTACAAAAAAATGTCTGAATATAAAAAAAGACACAATAAAACACAAAGATATTTCAATAATTGGAGAGGGATTGGAGGAGCTGGCAGTCAGTTAGAAAAGCCAAGGTGGGGAAAAGGTACAGCTACAGCCAAAGGGTTTGCTCTGGTGTTGTTAGTGGAAGATAAAAGGTGAAATCCCATCAATTCCTTTCCCCCCCAAAAAGGTTATTTTATAAGAAAGGGAAAAGAACAGAAGAAAAACGTTGGTTGAGGATAAAAAGGTCTGCTGGAGAAAAAAGGGTGGCTTTTGACAAGAGACAGCAGTGGAGAGGGAGAAGCAGGAGGAGGTTTCCGGATGTTGGAGGTTTCTGGCGGGTATGCAGGAATAAAGGAGAGGTTTTCAAAACTGGAAGATCTGACAGTGGTTCCTAAATGCGTCATCCATTTAGATTTCAGCTCAAGGATAGCCTTTAATGGCCAGTGAAAGAAGCTTGCTGTTAGTTTAGGGTGCTTTGAAATCATTATTGCTATGTTAGTGAGGTTGTTAGTGGGGCGGACCATCTTAAGACAGGCATGGGGTTTATTTGGGAACATACCATCTTCCTCGGTGCGGATAAGCAGCTGTAAACTCTCTGGTCCTTCCCCGGCTTCCGTCTGAGCCCGTACAGTAATGCCATACTCAGTCCATTTCTCTAGGTTTTCCAGTAGATACGAAGAACTTTCCGGAGGAACTCCATCAACTCTTTTAGACATTTTGTTGCCCTCGGTAGTGGAGTACTGGATGGAGTATCCGGTAATGACTCCGTTCTGAAACTCCAGGAGAGGCGGGGCCCAACTTACCAAGATGCTGGTAGAACTGGGACTGGTGCATGTGATGTCCTGAGGAGGTGCCGAAGGAACTGATCGGCCAGTTTTGAGGAACCACAGTAGGGGTTGTTTGGGTAAATGTGATTTGTTTGTGTGTGTAGTTGTAATTGGTGGATGGAGAGGTGATGAAGTGAGGTTTGCCGTGAAGGAATGGGGATGAAATTGACGAGAGACAAAGAACAAAAGACAAAAAAACATAAAATGAAAACAAAACACTGGAGAACAAAAAGTTCTTATGAGAAAATGAACCTGTGACTAGAAAGCAAGATGGCCGAACAAAGATACTGAATGATGGGTGTCAATTTCTGTTTGGTAGAAATGTTGAATTCATGAAAACGAGTGAATGACTTAAAAGAGATGCAACACAAAAACACTGACTAGAGCTTCAACACACAAACATACCTGCCCATAACTTACTTGTCCTTACAGCCTACCCAAGCCTCTGTGATCCATGAGGGAGTTCTCATCTCTATCTACAAACCTCTGTCTTTTTGCCTTGTTCTTACTCATTCTCTTACAGACCTCAGATTGGTAGCCAACAAATTCAGTATAGTTTACTTGGTCAATTATCGATAAGCAAGTACTATTTTGGCTGAAATATTTAATGTGGGATACACTTCTGGTATTTATTCGATGATATATTTGTTGAAATATCAAATCTGAGGTCAGTTAAGGTCTGGATTCATGTCGGCCCCTTTTTGACAATGCATAAAAAGTGCCGAACTGCCAAATGTCTTATCAAATACTGTTCTTTAGTGATTAGATCTGGCATTTCATTAATTTGTTGCTCAGTTTTTGTGTCCGTTTTTTTATTTTTGCATTGTCAAAATGGAAGCCTCTCTCTCTCTCCCTCTCTCAAGCACTCACACACACACACAGCTCTATTTGTGGTTGGACCTACGCGTCTGCGGTGTGTCGATGGACACTTCGTTCGTGTACGCCCCAATTCCATGCTTGCTCTTTGCAGCCAGCTGGAAGGTGTAGGTGGAGAAAGGCTTCAGGTTCTTCAACAGGTAGGAGGTGACAGGCTCAAAGCTTACTTTCTTCTGAAAGGACATGAGGACAACGGGACAATGGGAGATATCAGGTTGTGAGAAAAACAAACAAATCCGGTTGTATTTACTATTTCTACAGGGTGGTAGAAAAAAAGCATCCTTTATTAATGTAACTATAAATATTTGTGCAATTGATCTGCTCTTTGCCTGCCCATCCATCTATTCATACACCCTTCCTTTCATTTGCTATCATGCAGCCAACCATCCGTGAATGTATTAGCTCAGCAACACAGTCCTCTCAGCTACCAATCTGTGTCTCTCTCTCTCTTATCTCACCTCCTCTGTGTCGTCAGCTCGTCGGTACACCAGCTCGTATCCTGTGATCTGGTTGTCGGGGCCACCCTGGGGTGGGGCCACCCAGGACAGCTGGATACTGGTCTCAGACTTGGCTTCACCCTTAAAATCTGATGGTTGGGATGGGACTACAGAGTGGAGGAAAGACAGGATTGCAGATTATAAGTGAAGATAATAATCATATTAATAATCATAATAATAACTAAAATACATTGTGCTTTACAAAGCTTTTAACATATAACATGTTAACATTTAAACAAAATAATAAAAACAGGAAAGATATTTTTTTAGGGAAATGTGTGTAAGTGTAATCTTCATATGAGTTGATAAGTAATGGTTCATAGTAAATGCCCTTGTATTTATAAGGCATCTTTCTAGTGTTTCTACCACTCAAAGAGCTTTAACACTACATGCTAACAGGTTCACACACCGATTAGACACTGATGGCCGCTGCCAAATCTTGTATCAGCATGTAATCTAATTATCATTCACACACAATCACACACTGATGGCCGTGCCCCAGGGGAGCAATTTAGGGTTGACGCTTTGACATGTGGACTGGGGAAGAAACCGCATACCTCCTGAGCCACATCCATACAGTGAGTGATAGTACAAATAATTGATTCCAAAATCTCTAAATAAATATAAAGTATGTAGCCTAATATAAAGTGGGAAATTACTGAGCTGCATAAATGTATTTAGTGCAGTTTTGTAATAATCCCCACAAAGACTTTGACTAATAATCCACATGTTTTTTAATTTATGGGGAAAGACTCCCGTGACTCACTCTCTAATTGTACAGAATTTCTGGCTTGAATGAGTGTAAGTGTTTTCAGCATAGCATGATACATCGCTCTATTTCCTCCTGTCTCTTACCTCCAGTCTTGGCTATAATCTGCAGGTCCTGGGACAGAGGTCCGTCTCCTACAGAGGTGAAGGCCATCACTCTGATGTAATAAGTCTTGTTAGGAGTCAAGCTCTGGATGGTGATGAAGTTGGCGCTGCGCACCATCTGCTTCTCCCACTGCACAACACAAGACACATTGCATGAGAGCAAGTAGACACACTGATGCACATTTGTGAATTAGACAAGTGCAGACAACACAACTTGTCAGGAGTGATTTATAAACAGGTACCTGGTTGACTAGCAGCGTGTTATCGGAGGTGTAGTAGACTCTGTAGCCCACCACCTGTCCGTTAGGCTCCTCTGGTTCATCCCAGTGGATGATTGCTGTTGTGGTGCTCAGCATACGACCTCTGACCTGCAAGGTAAACAGAGAGAGGTTCAACAACGCAGTGCTGTTTTAAAATGCACTCTAATTAAACCACAGCAAATCTTGTTGAAGACAGTGGGGTTCATTTTTTTAAAGAACTAAAGGCTAATTAAGTCTAGTGTTTGAAAGTTGAAAACATATTGAAAAAACATGTATATAACACACTGGTATGACTGTTAAAATAATAGGCAGCTAATTGAACTGTGCTGTATAATGACAACGCTTTTGATCTGCTAAAAGAAATAATAACAATAGATTAAAACAATTAACCTTTTCCCGTACTGGACCCAAAAGGGCAAACATTTTATTTTCCTCTCAAATGATTGGTACATTATTGCTGTTGAAAAGGCAATCAAACCCTGACCTGTCGGGGCGGTGAGGAGGGGGCCTGCTCGGCTGTGCGAGCCTCCACCACCTCGCTGGAGGGGCCCTGGCCGATGGTGTTGACAGCCGCCACCCGAAAGTCGTAGTGGGAGTAGGGGCTGAGACCGCCCACGCTGTAGCGCGTTGTGGCGATGCCATCAATCTCTTTGTAGGGGTCCTCAGAGCCTTTGGCACGGTGCTGAGGAAACAAGAGAGGGAGAGAGAGAGCAGAGGAAGATAACATAATGATTTCAAGCGGCATTAGCCTACTTTACAAAGGAAAATAAATACGTATATATAGCACATATCAAACCCTGACCTGCCGAGGAAATGTATATTTATATATATACAGTATATACAGTATATACATATATATCTATAGTCCATTTTCACACACAAATTTAGTTCATCTTATGGTCTGCGTCTCAGAAAGCCTGTGTGCACATGCAGTAGTGCTTCTGTGTCTGTTTCACACCTGTATGATGTAGTAGGAGACAGGCTCAGGGTTCCCAGAATCCCAGGTGAGTGTGATGCTTGTTGCAGTTCTCTCCGTCACCACAGGGTTACCTGGGGCCTTCGGCAGAGCTGAGAGGGAGAGAGAGAGAGAGAGAAATAAGAAACTGTTGAATATATTCATAACATCACTTTGAAATTGTAAAACTAAAAGAGACAAACTCAATATCCAAGAGTTAAACAATTCACATATTCTCTATACAGCGATTAAACAGCCTGAATAATTACTCACTTAAATGAATTACAAATGTTATGATCATTAGTTAGTGACTGAAACAAGTCCCCATAGAAAACAAAGTTTTGACAGATGCCATTAACATGATCTGATTAACTAAAAATAATCAAGCTTTTTCTTCTCTTTCAAGAAACAAACATTACAATTCAGACATAAAAAGGCTAGTGTTGGGAGGAAACCGCTGTGATAAAGCAAGACATACTTCAGGGTAAAGCCTTTTTTCTTTTGAGTGTTTGAATGAGTGTTTTTTAATGTCATTTTATAATATGTTTCTTAATGCTCTTAATGTCTTTCATTTTTGTAAAGCACTTTGAATTGCCTTGTGTTGAAGGTGCTATATAAATAAACTTGCCTTGCCTTTTGTTTTTCATCATTCTACATATAATGTAATAATGTTCCTTCTTTCTTCTTCTGGTTGTGAATATGTATAAGATATCAGTGACTATTTGATTTATTATCTAAATCAAAGGGAGTAACCAATTACAAGCTTTTTTTTTATTCTGTGGCGATCTATTTTTTCCAAATGCTCATCATAGAAGACAACCTTCACTGTGATTTTGTCCTCTTAAAAACACTGCTCTCACTGCAGGCAAGGTCAAATCATCTCTTGCTCACATGTTCTCTTCTCCTCACACCTCATGTACATGCTGATGAATCCACAAACCTTTCACAATAATCTGTGCCACCGCCTCAATCACGCCAAGTGTCGACATGGCGACGCATGTGTAATTGTTGGACTGGCGTACGTCGGTCAGTTCCAGGACGTTGCGGCCGATGGGCATGTCATCCTCAGGCGTCAGATCTTCTGCTCCCAGCATCCACTTCACATACGGCATGGGGGAGCCCACGGCCACACAGGTGATGTTGATGTTCCCACCTGGCATGATCTCGCTGTCCGCTGGGGGGATGGAGAAGCGAGGGGGGACACGACGCACTGGACCAGGCAGCAATGGAAGCAGGAAGGCAGGAGAAGAGAGGCCATTAGAAATTCAAAGTTCATGTGTTGCTCAGTAAAGTGCAGAACATCATTCCAGTGAATGGGTTTTATTTTTTTGTTCCATGTTCTCTTAGATGACGTTTTATGGCATTCAAAAAAGAATTCAAGCATTCAGACAGTCTAGTACATCACCACTAGGGTGCATGTGATATGAAATTGTTTTATTCATGGTGTTTTTAGGTTTACTCCATTAAATATTTTATGAACTGAAACACAAAAGATACTAACAAAAAAACACAATCTCACAGCAAACACACATGCACTCAGGGGAAAAAGAGAAAAGAGGAACACAGGGTACAGTATTTCTCAAAGGACTAAACTGTACAGGCGGGTTCAAACCTTCAGTACCGCACATAAAACAGCCGAAAACACACAAACACGAATGGCAGTTTAATGGAAGAAAGGAGAATATACTCTGGAGAGACTGAAAAAGCCACACAGTTGTTACTGTACCAACCTTCTCGCAGCTCTGCAGAGGGAGGGAGGACAGAGCACGGCGGGAGGAGTAGAGAAAGGAAAACACAAAATATAAGAGAAGAAACGGGAGACAGAGAAAAACCAGTTAGACAAAGGAGCAATAGAGAGAGAGATAACACACAGCAAGAAAGAAGGAGAAGAGTAGAGCAAAGAGAGAAAACAGAGTCCGTAGATGGCCGGTGAAAGCCTGTTTTTAAAGCAGCCTCCACAGCCGGCTGTCTCCATAGACTGCTTGTCAAACACTCACTGAGCAGCACTGCAAGATTTTACCGGCCCTGCAAGCACTGTTAGACGCACATCACTGCCTCTGCGCAGTTCGTGTGTGTCTGTGTGTGTATGCACGTGGGTTTATATATTTTCTTTTGGTCTAGCATAGCTGTGTGTGCTTCCAGTCGTGTGTTGGAGTCAGAAAAGCATACTACGCTCTTTAAAGCCTTTATTTATTTATTTTTTCTGGGGTGGGCAGACAACAGAGCAAAAGGCCAAAGGAATAAAAATGTCTCCAAGACTCAAACTTTGGGTGGGAATGTGTGTGAATGTGAGTTTGTTGAAGGAGACAGTGCCCGAGGTGCAGAGATGCCTGTCAGATTTGGGGAGAAACACAAGTCTTAACCAGACAATGATTTGTTTTTTTCTCTGAGGTCTAAAGGCTAAGAAGAGAGGGCGGAGAGATTAATAGCCCGAATGAAACCTTCTGCCCCGCCTGAGCTGATGTAAAGGAAATCTTATTTAAAATCATCCAGTTTTATGACTCGACGGCTACAAATTCCTTTAACACAGAAGGTTTAATAGCGTCATATCATTAATTTGATAAATGCACATTGCTAGCAGAAGACATTTATGGTAAAAATATATAAATATCTTCTAGGAATAGATCATCTGAGCATACATCAATCGTTAAATGTAAGTGCTCTACTCTGGTTTTTTATTCCCTCTTACCTCGGACATAGAGGTTAGCTGGCGTGGAATAGCGCGTCCCATCGCTGTTGGTGGCAACACACTCGTACTTCCCCTGGTCGGACTCCTCACTCATCTCTATCTGGAGGGCACCTGGATTCATTGAGGGATGGAGAGGAAGAGTAGAATATAGAGAGAGCGGAGAGGGAGTCACACAGAAAGATAGTGAGGAACAAAGAGCATCAGATAATTGGGTATAGTTCATAAATACACCAACATAGAAATGGTAACAACTTCATAAAGTGTAAATGAATCTGAGACCGTTTTCAGCAAAAACAAGCTGAACACAGGGATAAAAATGGGGCAAGATCTATTAACAAGTTTCTACCACTGTCAGCAAGAATCTGCCCAAAACAAGGGTCAGCTTCCTGATTAAGAAATGGGAAGAAAACAAAAAACGAATAAAAAAAAAAAACACTGATACAAAGCCTAGAAAAACCGAGAATGTAGTCTTCATGCAAGGCAGAAAGCAACAAACCAAGCAACTCAAATGTGGAGAAATCCAGTCACCAATACAGTTAAAAAAAAAAAATCTTTGCTGGAAATCAAGATTGAGTTATCAGGGAGCAAATCATGTTTCAGTTTTCATGGGTCAAATATGACAACGGTATTGCCATGTCAAGAAAATATCCCAAACCCTTACAGATCCACCAATGGGATCAGGAGTGTGAAGTCATTTTAAAAACACACCCAATAAGGAGGTAAAGACACCAATTGACCTCCATCAAGGCCACAGATTGAAAAATAGGAACGACATACGCAAAGCCTTGGGAAGGGATCGACGCTTTCTCGCTCCCTGGAAACAGAAAAACTGTCAAAAAAGTAAACCAGAGGTTCTTTAAAGATGGGGTGGTAAGGCAAAAAAGCGCCCAGAAAAACTTTATAAAAAAAGTGGTTGTTTGGGGCTTTTTATCGGTAATGAGAGAGAAAAGAGAAAGTAATGGTAAAAATCATGGAGAAAAGTGTGTGTGTGTTTATGTGTGCGTGTGTCTAAGTCTTTGCCATCTGGACTTCTCAGGCCGAGCGAATAACAGCTGGGAGGGAAAACAAAACTAGGACGTTTGATTGGGCAAATAGAGACAAGGAAGAGAGGCTAGGTCGGTCAAGACCCACCGGCAAAAAAAAAGAGGAAATCAGGTCACAAAAAAGGTAAAATGATAGTACGTTTTGTCACCTAAGTCTAATCAACTAAAAATAAATACAAGTTGTAAACAAATCATGCTTTAGACTGAAAACAAAGTAGACGTGAAGAGCTGAATGATGTTAAACTGGTGGATACAAAAGAAAGATCACAATATGGTGAGGAAGGAAGCGATGGACTTTTTGTATTATAGAGTGACTGTTGAGGCTGAGATGAGATGAAGAGAGGATGGGAGACGAGAAGAAGGGAGGTGATTAAAAGTCAGAGTATAATGAATTGCTTGCTCAATTCCAATTTCTCCCCTCTTGCCCCTACTGCAGATCTGATGCAGCTGGAGGAGCGTTACCAGTCTTTTGGACTGAACATGTATTGATTAATCCACCCAGAGCTGCTTTTTTCAGATCTGCAAGTGAAGTAGGAACCGGGGGTGGAAAAGGAATCAGGCCACTGTGTCATGTTGGTCCTCCCAGCAGTCTTACCTCGTATGGGCGTGCCACCTGAGTGGGCAATGAATGCACGAGATTAGAGAAGGAGAAGAAGAAGAAAATGTTAGTACCACAGGAGGAGCAGGGGATAAGGAAGGGAGGGACTTGGGGAGGTAACTTGGAAAGGAGAAGAATCAAATTAGAGAGGAAGACTCAAAATATAGCTCCTTAAGAGAGTGAGAGGAAGAGAGAGGCATAGAGAAAAAGACAGAATAAATAAAGACAGAATTAGCCTGAGAAGAGAAAGACAGAGACTAGATAGACAGAGTGACAGACAGTGACAGAGCTATAAGGAGATGGGTTATTGATTTGACTTCATTGACTTGCAGCAGGGGCAGAAGTGGCTGTAGGGTAGTGTCTGCACTGCACTCATCTGGGTCTATTAGAGGTGGACTGAGACTCTGAGTACACTCAACTGCCCTGAGAGTTAACCTCCACATAGATCAAAAGCAGGCGTAATCCTGCTCGTAATATCCTTAGTAAATACATTAAATATCTGTCTCTGAAGGAAAATAATCCACCCTCCAATACTTTCACTGTGTAAAAAGATATACTCGGATTATTTTTTTTATCTTAAAACAGAGTCTGACATCAGGCACATTTTCAACAATCTAAAAAATCTACTGTAAATGTCAAGTTGATGTCTCAACCCCTCAAAGAGTTATATTGTATTTCCAGACCTAACATCTCAAACCGACCACCAACGACATACTTTGAGAGGTGCCAACATACATTTACTGTAAGAGGGGTGGGGTGCAACTAATAATTGATTTGATTTGGGATGAATATACAAGACACAAGACAGGTTATCAATTAATAATTAAGCCTATAAAATATCCCAAAGCCATGAAACCCTCAGATATTCAGTTTAAAATGGTACAAACTAATGTAGTAAATCCTCACATTTAGGGAGAAAGAACCAGAGACTGTTACATTAACTTTAAACAATGAATTGACTATTACAATGCTAATATAGCTGATTTCTTTTCACTAATCAAAAATAAATAAATAATAATAATACAAATAAATACATCTTTGTTTAAGTTGTAGAGGTGTGATCTCACATAATAGAATAATAGATAATTAAGGAAATCACCTGTGAGTGTAAACAAAGAAATGCAAAACACAGCACTTTGCTGTAAAATCACAATCATTAACGTAAAAAAAACGAGAATGAGCGTGAAAGGGTATTGAAGAGTGGATTTTTTTATATTACATTATTTGTCTGACTCTATCATGGGGATGTTCAAACTGCGTGTCCATTCACTACCTCTTAGCAGTAGTAACCAGGTTTAGTATATACATACTAACTGTACAGGCAACGTCTAGAAGTCTGTAACCTGGTCCCATTGATTTCTTACAGTGGCTCCACCAGAGGCCTACCTAATAGCCATCCACAGCTGATGGCTTATTGACTTGAAACTCTATACAGCACAGTGGAGAGAGTAAGTGGGTGAGCGAATGACAGAGTGAGTGAGTGAGTGAGTGAGTGAGAGGGAGAATAATTTAATAAGTGGAAAAGTAAATAGGTGAGTGTGAGGAGAAAGTTATTGTAATTATTTGGGTGTGGAAAGGCTGCAGGTGCACAGGTGAGGGTGAGGCCAGCTACCTCTAGGGTGACAGAGATATGTGTGAGTATATTCATGTATATTTAGTAATATATATGTGTAGATATGGGTTTATGCATGTGTATTTTATTTATTCTGTATCAATCCATAGCATCTATAGTATGTGTCTGTATCCAAAATGATGTATGGGTGACTGCAGAGTGTGTGTGCATCTGTGCTCATATTATATTATATCTCTGTGTGTGACTGTTAGTTAAATGCATGCCATGCATTTGAATTACACTTCAGTATTGTAAAGGTGAGCAGCAGCAGCAGCAACAGAAGCAGCATTAGTGAACAGTATATAGAAAAGTGGACAGTGAGGGTGTGGGCCTCGGAACAGAAGCACTTACCAAAGGACTCTGTAGTTAAAAAGATATAAAGAGAAAAGAAACAGCATAGACATGGCATTATAATCGGACCATTGATTACACAGAGGAGTTGACTTAGTAGAAACACCTTGAAAAAGCACTGGAACTCCCAGAAGAAGCCAAATATTGATTATCTACACAAACTTTGTTTTTGTAAAAGTATGTTGTAATCATCACATAGAAGAAGCAAAGCTAACATGACAAATATTTGACATTTTAAGGTCTAACAATTCTGTAAATGCTTTTACTTTTATATATTTTATTTTATTAAATAAAGGTCAAAATGGGAGTTTGAGCAGGGAGCTGAGCCAGAGAAGTAAAACAAAAACAATTTGGGAGAGAAGCAGAAAGGTTGTTATCCATAATGAAGCCAGAGAGTTGGGTGTCCAATCACAAGAAAGGTTTTTGGGTCCAGAGGGTCCCTGGAAGCAGAAGGAGGACTGAGGAGGGGGGGGTGAATTTGCTAAGACAAGTTGGGATTTTACACACTACTGTGGCTATAGAAACGCTGATTGAGATTGAGTGCCTGGACTGGAAAACAATTTATTCTCTGTGTATTTTCCCCCAGTTCTTTGTCTTTGAGTTTTACAAATTCTCTCAATGTATTTACTCAAATAAAATGCAATGTCCGTGAGTCAATTTCACACTCACAAAAGACACACGTATTTCCATAATATGAGGAAAAACAAAAGGTTATTTGTTGGTTTAGTCACAGCAGTGAGCCATCTGAGAGAGGACATTCCTTCAGTGCAAGCCACCAACATCTGGGTTTTACCTTGCAAATTCAGTCAATAGAGAACATTTGTTATGACTAGAGACATGGTGCGCACTGATGCGTGATGTGACAAATATTTCATAACGTTTGTACCAAGTGAAAAATGAAACCCTTCGTGATGGTGATTTGCACGGGAAGACCTCAGAGATTTGAGAAAAGCAGAGAGAAGTTGGGAGTTTACTGTTTAAGGCTTTGAAGAGTTTAGAAAAGTTGGCAACCACACACAGTCAACTCATACCACAGCAGCAGAGAAACACAGCCAGTAACCACGGCAGGAGGAGTGGGAACAGCAATAAGAAAAGGGGTGAACAGGGGCAAGAATAACAGACACTTTGTAGGAACAGAACATAAAAAACGGGTAGGGGGAAAAAGAAACGAGGAGCGGATATTAGAAGAGGGGTATAAAAACAACGTGGAAGGGAACAAACCTTAACTGGAAATAAAAGCGTGGGATTGAGGACAAGGGAAAGAATGGAGGATTAAAACAATTGTTTACCTGAGCGGAGCTGTTTGATTCGTCCGTTGTTATTGGACGTGTTGACTGGCAGGAAATCTTTGAACCAGGTAATTTCTGGGTCAGGGTTACCGCTAGCAGCACAGAGCATAGTGGCGGTTCGAGAACGCTCAACCACTTTCAGCTGGGGACCCATGTCAATGGTGGGGAACCCCGAGGGCAGCTGGTCCTCTACAAGGATGAAATACACAAGTTAAACAAAGCAGGAAATATACATTTTACACCTTCAATTCTATCTATACCCGTCATATTTCAAATGTGTTATTTTGAATGGATTAGAAACAGGACGTTTTTCTTTACATTATATACAATATTATATTGTTACAGCAGTAGTTAGTTCGTACATATCCATGATGCTGAACCTGTCAATCTTAAGGTTTTGCTTCTTTTACAGTGGGTGTATTTATCTGCTTGATTGCATGTTTGGTGGGTTTTGTTACTGTCAGATGTAGCCAGGCTAGCTGTAGAATTGCTGCTGGCTGTAGCTTCATATTTAACATTCATATTAGAGCAGTATCAGTTTCTCTCCTATCTTCCCAACATGTCAATCAATTTTAATTGCAGTGAGTTTTCTGACATGTCCCTAAAGCAGATAGACTGTTCGAAACAAGACAAAACATGATTTTTAATACACAACTGCCTTCAGCTCTGAATTGACACCGAGCAGGTTGAGGCACTCGTCCAGAGTGAAAAAGGAAACTGGCTGGTCAAAAATAGATTCAATTTAGAGCCAAAATATTTTTCCAACTGGCCAGGAGCCTGGAGGAAAGACTTTTGAGGAATACATAGTAAGGTCAAATATAATAAGTAACATTTCATTCCCCCATGATAAACTATCTTCAAAAAGCTTTAGGCAATGGCTCTTCAAATATGAATCGATGGAAACTCAAATACTCTCTATTCTGCTGAGACTCAGTTTGAGCTAAACTTTTTGTCCTGCTGCTCAGTCTGTTGCACATAACTCTCTCCGGAAGCACTTTGCATGAATCAAATAGGAGAATCAAATAATTATGCATCCACTGGGACTTGCACCCTTTTGGGATTGGCAAATAAAATGTGAATTCATAGACATCGGAGGCAATTAGATCCAACATGATGAGTCCTTTCACTGAGATAACCCAAATCAAAGGCATCAAAGATCCCATGTCATGGCCATTTCTACTGATCATAATTCCATTGTTGAGGTCTACTAGAATAGATTTATACTGTGCAATTTTCCAAACCCACATTGGTTTCTCATACAGCATCTCTGTATAGTATGTGTATTCAAACCTAAACGGCTTGTTGGATCTCCTGCCCCCCCTCCCCCCCCTATGAGCCCACTGTGCTCTGATTGGTCAGCTCGCCCACTCTGTTCTGATGAGATCACCACCGTTACAGCGGAACATCAGTGATTATGTGTTACAATGGCGTTAGCAACCAGAAAATGACACCAGTAATGACAAACAGATGAGAATGCTGCGTGGGGTCTGGGTGCCGTGTTGGCGGGACGTTGCGCGGCTCGCTGCTGCGAGGAGCGGACAGTGTGAGCTGTGTTCATTTCATGCTTGCTGCGTGCACATGGGTCCATGTGGGTATGGGCACGTCACCATACCCAGGAAGAAAAAGAGAAATGTCCAACGAGGCGTTCTGGGGCAGCATAGACAGGTATCTTCTGTGTTAGAGTTTTACTCGCTACAGGGTGTACTTTGAGGGTTTGTGACTCTGCAGACCGTTTACATGCATAAAAACCTTCATAACACACCGGAAAAGCATGACATGGGACCTTTAAGCCAACTTCTTTCAACTGAAGGAGAAGACTTAGGGAAGAGGAGGGGACATTACCTCGAGGAGGGGGGGAACAAAGACACCTACACTTTATTTAGGTGGAAAAAACAGTATTCACCCTTGGAATCAAACGTGTTAAAAGCAAATACATTTGAAAAAACGAATTCTTTACTTTGTTCACCGCTACACTTTATAACTGCGGGGTAAAATGTCAGATTCATGAGTCATCCATAATAAAGTGGATAAAGATAGACATGGTGAAAAGACAGATGAGCTAGGAGCGTACGTTCCTGCATGTGTTTGCATTTGATCTGGAAGGCAGTCTATTTTCTGCCATTTTTTTTAAAACCAAGAATCCCTTGTGACTTTATCCCTCTCAACCACACAGAGCCTCATTAACGGGAAATCCTAGCGCTGAACCTTGCCAAAGAGATGCTAATTCTGGTACTTGCCCATCGAACCATAGCCGACGGGTCGTGAGACACTGGCTTTGCGAGTGCGTGTGTGGCCTTTTAACAGCTTTGGTTTCAATCAATCAGAACAGCCGACAAACGGAAACATGGACATAATAAACCAAGAGAACAAGATCAGAAGGTGTTTGTGTGTACTACTGTGTCTGTGTGGGCGGGTGGTAAAAGAGGGCAAAAGTGCAACCAAGAGTTAGAATGAAATATAGTGAGACAAAAAAAGAGTGACAGAGAGGAAAATAGAGAGAGAACAAGGGAGTGGGGAAGAGGAAAAACAGACAGAAAGGGAGAGAGAACACAAGGGACCCATACAGCATAACAATCCTGACTCTCTCCGCTTTCATTATGCAAACGCTTACTTCAAAGCCAGCCCCTCGTAGGCAGGAATAACGCATTCTATTTCATCTACCTGGAGTGCGACACTGCACCGAACGTTGAGGATGCACAATTAGAATGCTACTCCCTGAGATCATGCCTCTCTCTTGGCCCCTCTTCTACAACCACTCACCGGCACATAAAAAAAACGAGAGTTGCAGATGTGGATGTGTAAGTAGAGGTGTGTGCAAGAACCTGTAAACGTAGGTAACCAAAATCACAGACGGAGAACGCACATACTTTCATGAGGGTGCTAAAAAAAACGACAAGGTTCTTTCATTTAAAGCTGACAATGTGTGAAGTAAATATAAGGACAAATGTTTGAGGGCTGATTGAATGGGCTGATGCACATACACGTTGATGCATGCACATACTGTAACCAGCTTCCCCCCATCCATCATGGGGGCAGGTGTAAGCAACACCAACGTGTGTTTGGGACAAAGCTGCTCCAGTGTGTGTGTGTGCGCACTGCTGAACAGTAAAGTACCCCCTGAGGTCAGAGCAGATGCGAAACCCTACACTCCCTTGTTGACGGAGCCTTCCACACATCCCACTGTTTCCTTTGGATGCGCTCCCACTTCAGTGTTTTCCACTGTGAGAGATCCAGATCATTTCACAGCTCATAGAAATGCCCGGTTTCCCAATCATGGGAACTGCCGTGTGAACACTTTCCTCTTTATACAAGACCCAAAAAGAAATCCACACACATAGCTCACTGGATTTGTCATCTGCATCTGTAAATCTGGAAGACCGCAGTTCAAGCCTGGTGTTACAATCATGAGAACTGTATTAGAAGCTCATTTGTAATATCAGCACCTGCCAACAAACCTGTTTCTGTCATTCATCACGTACTCAGGGGACAAACAGGATACGTGATGGATACAATAACATTAACACTTACAAACTGTTACATTACTTAGTGATTATTACATAGTACACTTTTTTTTTGTTGATTTAAGTCCGGTCAAGTTTGTGGAGCCACGGTTTGTTACAGTGTGTGAATGGTCTAGTTTTGACCTTATGAGTCTGTGTGTGTGTGCATGTGTTTGAGTGTCACTATGGCAAAATGTGGTCCTGCAGATTCCTACTGTAGCGGGAAATACCACAGAATCGGTTTTGAGTACTTTTCCAGGTGCTTATATTTCTGTCTGTGGTCAGAGTTGGTTAAGACACAGTCACAAGTCATTAAGTTAAAAATGGGTGTGGTCGAAGGAAGGATGCAGGAAGTGGCGGTGTAGGAAGAAGTCCCCTGGACCGATATGGCGTTGGGGCTGGTGTAGTTAGCTGGTTATTTTGTATGACTCTCATTACGTCATTCGGTTGTTTAGTAGGCTGCACAATATTTTGTCGCAGCTACATTGTGAGAAGACAGATGTCATTTTTAATCCAAGTATTATCTGTTGAGCTACTGTGTACCCACTTTGTTGTTCAACTTTTAATTATATTACTATTTGTACTGTACTCACACTCTTTTATCTTTAAATAAAGTTGTCTACACACTCTCGCTTCTCTGACAATCTGAGCACTCAAGTTTCTTGCCCCTTCAGACTTTATGTCGATTAAAAAGAACTTTACAACTTCACTTTGCAAATTTTAGACTGTATTACTTTTTCCGAGACTCATTAATTAATTCAAACAGACACATGCTCCACTTTTACCGAACCATGAATTATACAGTATGGGAATGAACACTGGATCCTAAAGCATATAATTGCTCTCAAGTTCATTATTATTTCAGACATTGTCAATCACGGCCGTTTACTGGAAGCCAAGATTTCAATTAGCCCGGTTCTTATCCTCAGTAATTAAGCCGGCTGACCTTAACACCGGATCCTCCTGTCTGACAGACAGACACTCAGCCAGTGGAGCGGTGTCTTTACAGAGCCAGAGGAGACAAGGAGACAAGGAGACATGACTGACAAGACTCGGTGTGTTGGGTGAATATGTGTGTGTATGTGTGTGTTCGTATAGGTGTGTGTGTGGTATCACATGTGTGAGTACTTTGCCACTGACATTTGCACTGACAGTGTATCAGGGGCTATTAGCAGCTCCCAGGTGGCCTCTTATTCATCCACAACACAATGACTCCTCAGAGGAGCAGAAAGAGGATAATCACTACATAAAGACTGACTGCCTAAGATTGAGGATAGGTTTGTGTGTGTGTGTGTTTTTTTTCCCCCTATCTGTGCGTGCATGAATGGTTACGTTTTCGATAAAGATTAGACACGAGCCCATAGCTTCCATCAAGGGAGGAAGGCAAAATCAAAAATAGATGCAGGGACACATAAGCAAGAGCACATGCAGTTGCACACACATACACACACACATACACACAGTACAAGTACGAAGACAACCACGTGAGACAGGAACGATTCTGGATGGATGGAGCGGAACAGCAAAGAAGATGCAAAGAGTGGACTGATGTGAATAATTTAGAGGTTGCTGTGTAGTGGACCTAAGAGCATATGGAGGGAGAATGAAAGAAAAAGAGAGAGACAGCCAAGACAGAGAGTGAGAGAGAAAGGGAGAAAAGAGGAGCAAAGTGTATGAAAAGTCAGAGAGAAAGTGTGGAGTGAAATAAAGCGTAACAGGGAATGAACTTTAGAGACTAAAACACAGACAGACAAGATGGAAAGAGAAGAGAGTGGAGAGGAAGAACTGTAGACTATGTTATTACCCCTCAGAGAGACAAGAGGGGAAGAGCGAGATAGAGGGAGACGAGATGGTAGAACAATGGGCTGCACGTCCTTTCCCCGTGAGCATGTACTGTAAAGGCAGGCGATGTGATTATCCACACTTGAGCAGCTTCACTCACTAAGACACTCTTGAGCTTCAAACTCCCGGTACATAATGTTCTCCTAATGGACTCCACTAACACTAACATCACTATCTGCATTAATGGACTCCACTAACACTAACAAAACCATCTACTGCAGTGGACCCAGGCTTACACTTGCCTATACATACTGTATATCTACATCTGAGGAAACATCCAAAAAGCCTTGACTTCTTCTCCATTTAAGTTTGAAGAACATGCTTGAAAATGTGTATAACTTAATATAAACCACCTTCCTTATTTGTTCAGTTAATATTTAATCCGACTAGTTATAACATCACAGGGATGTTCACTTGTTGTTAACCCTTATGTTGTGTTGGGGTCTCCCGTGACCCGTTTCAACCCTCTAGTTTTTTTTTTTTTATAGGAACCATAGTTAATAATATAAAGTTGTAAAAAAAATCTGGGGGGGGAAATTGTATTCTAATATTAGTCTATTATAGTCAGATAACATAATTATCCACTTTCTTCACTATAGGGAATATAATGAGTGAATTTAATCCCATTTTCTTCTTAAAAATATGTGTTTTGGGGCCATAAATAATAAAATGACAACAGGATTGTGAGGTTGTGAATGCATAATAAGTTAGTGATGATTAAAACAATATTGGATGATAGTCATCATTAGTGTTTGATAGTCATCATTAGTGTTTGATAGTCATCATTAGTGTTTTGGACTTAGATGAATCATGCGAACACCATGAACGGAAACAGCTTTCGAACACAACACAAGGGTTAAAAGACAATGTTTTATGTGATTGATGATTTACATCCAAGAATTATGTTTTGTTGTTTTCTTCACAGCTATTGAAACGTTGTGATTGACAGCTGATAAGAATCACAGCTTGCATGGATGTTCACACTGACCTCTTAGTACACTCAGTCGGGTTGAAGCAGTGATTTCTCCTGCAGAGTTAGAGGCGTGACATTCGTAAATAGCCTCATCTCTCGGGGTCCTGAGCGGCTGGATCCTTAGGACCGAGCCGGACCCGTCGTCAAACTCTATTACCTGTTAGTGAGAAAAGACATTGAAAAAGTCAATATAACATATCTAACAATGGATCAAAACATACTGTATAAGACTGTAGTGATTAACCGACAGAAAACGATCACCTGAATCTGCAGTAACCTCTTTTTATTGCATCTTTAAGCTTATCTTTTGGTTTTACCGTCAGTTTTGGTTAACTTTTATCGGTCTCATCAGCATTTTTGGCAGCTGGCACTTTTATTTAAAGTGAAAAGGTTTAAAAACTCACTTTTGACAAACTTTCTAACGCAAGGCAACATACAATGTTAGCAACTAGCTGGTGAACATAATAGAGCATTTAATAGCTACAGAACCAAATATGTATCAGATGTTAGAGACCAAATAAATACATCTTAAAGACAGTGAATATTCGACTTGCATTTATCAGGTGTACAGAAACACAACTTCTAAGGAATGCTAAAGTGTCTCAGTGGATGATTAAATTGGAAAATGTTTGCCAATACTACTGTAACACTGATAAGCAATATGTTAATGTTGTATTTAAAGCTGTATTTGCAGCGTCATTACACACAATTTAAAAAAGATTTTAGGTAGCCCCAGAAAAGCCATTCACTGAAAGAAAATGTTTAACAATTTTTTGTATTTAAATGGAGAAGAGAGAGTGAAAAATCAATATATTTGATGTTTATGTAATATGTTATAACATGACATTTTCTGAAATAAGGGATTGGACATTTTGAATGCTCTTGCATAAGTTAAATACAAGCATGTATCAGATTCTGAATTCTGAAAAGGTTTCTGATGACTGAAATCCAATAAAAGGAAATCCCTCAACAACTCCAGGCCGGCAGGACAGAAATGGGGAATAAAAAACATTCTGAGCTTATATAGGTTGGATTAAAAATAAAATATCTCCTCGAGTGATTTAATCACAAACAGGAGGACACCAAGATGAACTCAAACCTGGGAGGAAACTCGACTTATTAAAGTGAAAAAAAACACCGTGGGCTCAGGGTGACAATGAGTTGGTGGGGTGGGGGGGAGAGGGGGCACTGATGCAACAACTCCATCTGAGAGTGACTTGTAAGGAGGAGAAATAATTCAAAGGTTAGAGCCTTCAGGGAAACTAATAAGGCTGATCATATGAGAATCTCATATACCGTAGCCCAAGGCATCCTCTGACATATGAAAGTGTTGGAGCAGAGAGCATTTCACACACTTGTATAACCTTTGCAGTACAAATGGAGAAAAGCAGATAAACTGATCAAATCTTAAACAGTACAACTTTGATTTTATAAACAAACTGGTAGGTGTTCAAGCCCACTCCCCCCCAAACAAGGAAGTTACCCTTTTTTCAATTATTGACTTACATGTAAAATTGAATTGCAATAAATACAGTGCCAACAATACACCGTTCTCTCTGTGGGCACTCTGATGGTAACTGCTACCATTAATGAAGTATTTGTCCAAAAATAAGCTCTGAAACGGGCTTTGAGTTAGCCGTTTATTTTAAACAGTCAACGAGTTACTGTTATTTTTCTATTGTTATTTTCATTATTTCATTATTTATCCAAGGATTAGTTTGATTAGTGGATCATTTGATAAATAGATTATTTATTTTGGTGAGTAATTACACAGAACCAAATGACAAGTCTAAACCCAAAAGTTTATTATCACATAAGATAAGGAAGCAGCAAATAATCCCTAACGGAAAGCTGCAACTAGAAATATCTGGCAATTGTGCTGGAGAAATGACTTTTCAGAACCCAAGGAGACACCAATAATTATTTCTCAGTGATTCCTCAATCAGTAAAATAATAGTTTGACATTTTGAGAATCAGGCTTATTTGCCTTCTTTCAGGGAGTTAGATGAGAAGAGAAGAGTTAGATGACTCCACTCTTCAATTCAAAGTTACAGTTATGGTTTTGTCTAAAGGTCAAAACAACTTCAAGCGCAAATACAACTCTCAAACACACACATAATTTTTTTTTTTTTTTAATTAGAACAAAAAGTTTATGAAGTTAGTTCTGTTTTCTTACTTTATTAAAAGCAAAGCTTGCCTTACCTGGCAAATCCTTTTTATTCAGGAATATCATTTCTTTCCTAATTGTTCGTAAATTTCAAACCATTCCTTTAAATTATTCTTTGATTAATGCAATTATTATTCCATTTTGTTTGATTTTCATTCATTAATCAATCATCTACAAAATAGCTCCCATTTTCAGTTGCCAATCGCTTGAGTTAAAACGTGTTTCTATAAGTTAAAGGCAAACAAATAATATTAAACACACATTAATAAACCACAGAGAACATTCATTCTGCAGTGAACCTGAGTTGTGGTTCAGTATTTGAATACCAACCTAGTCCTATTTCCCTATGCGGATTTCAGCATGAGAAGCGGACGGTAGGCTTTTATCATACAAAAGGACTAAATTAATCTTCCATCATTAGTGTCTGAGGATCATACCTCAAATCTCTGGTTGCTGACTTTTTTGCCTTTCTTGTTCCAGACAATCTTGGGCTGTGGATCCCCTGCGGCCTGGCACACAAAGGAGGATACTCCCCCCTGGACTCCTGTTTGATCTTCTGGGGTTCGTGTAAACTTGGGGGGTGCTGTGTGAAAAGATGTAAACAAAAGTTAAGTGAAGTTCCAACCCAAAATGTAGCCGTTAGTGTCAATGGTCCTAATGCGATTGACATTACCTTTCATAATAATCTGACCAGCATTCACACATACATTCACATTTCCTCCAATGGGTTATTCCCCAAGGGTGAATTTATTATACTACTAGTTCTGTATTTTACATACTGTATGTGTAGCTCTATTTGAGTGATATTTGAGACCCGGGGTGTGTGTGTGTGTGTGTGTGTGTGTGTGTGTGTGTGTGTGGTGTGTGTGTGTGTGTGTGTGTGTGTGTGTGTGTGTGTGTGTGTGTGTGTGTGTGTGTGTGTGTGTGTGTGGACTCTTGGAGTATGCATGCACCTATATCTCTCTCTCAGAGTAGAGTAGTACGGTGGGCTTTGTGTCTGTGTGCGTATCCTCCATGTGTTTCCCTCTGTCCCTGAAACACCAAAGAAGCTTAATATTTCTGTGCCATAAAGGATTTATGAAGACTTACTTCTGACATGACCACTAAAGCCCCTCATTCCGGGGACGCCAACAATATCATAACCACAGCCTCCGCTGGATTTTGACATCACGACATCAAAAAGATTCGGCACGTCAGTCACGGCACGTCACCGCCAGCTCACCTAATGGCATTCCAGCCAAACCAGAAAATCCCTACTTAAGGGCTTACCGCCAACCGCCCTGACAAAGGGAGAGAAATTGCTTTTTGCTGTTTAAAAGGAGGGAGGGAGGGAGAGAGAGAGAGAGAGAGGCTAAGCTTTTGAGAGAAGGAGAGAAAAAGAGAGAAAGCGTGTGCGTTTAAAAGAGCGGGGAGTACTGAACAGAAGAGTGAGGGAGATAAAGGGAACTAGCGAGAGACAGATGGAGAGCAGAATGGGTAAGGAGGAGACTGCATGAGCGGCAGAAGTGGAGAGAGAGAGAGAGAGAGAGAGAGAGTTAAAGTCAGCGAGAGTGAGGGAGGAAGAGCCAGATGTACTGCAAACATGGTCGGAGAGCCCCAAGCTGCCCAATCACCTCTACACCTCACTGGCTCATGGCCAAATCGAGTAGTGTGTGTGTGTGTGTGTATGCGTGTGTGCGCTTGCATTTCTACGTCTGCTTACTTTCGCAAATGCATAAGCCAACTTAAGTATATCTACACAAACTGTGCACATAAGTCAGCATGCCTGTGTGAGTTAGATATGTACTAGCGCCTAAAGAATTACTTGATTCAATGAATGGTCGACGAACAAACAATTACTGACAACAATTGGGATGAGTGATTTATCGATGAAAGGTAACATATTTGGTTGAGCACAAAATGAAGATGTCAGGTGGTGCTTTGGGAATTGGTAACTTTTTTCTGATTGCATCAAAATGACCCATTGATTAATCAGAAAAATAGATAAACTGATGATCATCTAAGAATGGAAATAATGCTCGATTGCAGTCCTGATATATTCATTAAATAATTGAATGCACACGATTTCTAACTCTACACGCTCAGTCTGGTGTGTCTGTGACGCTTGAGCGAGTCGACAAATGTGCGTGTGCCCATCTGAGGGAGAAAAATAGGGATATAAAAAAGAGAGAGGGAAACAGGAAGAATGAGGAGTGGGAGAATCGCTCTCTTAATCCTCTTGCTAATCTCTCCCTCACAAAACAAATGAAAAGTGTAAAACCAGCAGAGCCCTACCAAAAGACACGGTAGATCTTTCAATTCCTCAATCTTTCCCCCTACTCTTCATCTTTCGAGCACGATCCCTCTCTTCATATATCTCCTGTTAATTGTCTTATGTTCTCTCTTTCTAATATCTCCCCTATCTTTCTACCCGCGCCTAATTCTTTGCCACTGAATCCCTTCTTCTTCTTCCCCCTCTCCTTGCTCCGTCTTTCATCCTCTCCCTTGTTACTCTTTCTCCATCTCCTCCCTCCATCTCTGGGGTGTTACATAAGTCTTCCTGTCACATTGACTGACTTAATGAGGAGGGGTTGGGGGTGCAACCGTATGCTCCACACTTCTCCCAACTCGCTCTCACAATTTCTCTTCCTTCTTATTTCTCCTCCTCCCCTCTCTCTATGGGCTCCCATCCCCTCCTTGTCTCCCTTCCCCTGCTCCAAATGTTGTTCTCCAAATCCATCCTCCCTGTTTGCCTCCTTATTCTATCCTCCTACCACTTATCTGCTCTCTATTTAGGATCCAAACAGTTGTGTCTTTTGCCAACATCATCAGGTCTTTTTGGTTTTGCTGCTTGGTCGGATTAAGCATTGACATTTAGGCCAAGTTAGGGAGGGCTCAAGCTCAAAAGGGCACTTCAATATGTGTAGCCCTTTTAGTGGGGGGAAGGGATACCTGATGGTTTATTTATTTCATGGACCTAAGATAAAAAAAATGGACTTGGACAAATGAATGAGAACTTGGGGTGGGCACTTTGCAGCAGTCTCATGCTTAGGTGCTCTTGCATGTCGCCTTCCTTTCCCCCCTCAATATGACCCAAGATGGAAATGTGGAGAAACTCTACTGAGTGGGTCTGCAGAAAGAGATTAAGATGGAATTAGACAGTGCCAATCTTTTCCCTCTTGGTTTGTGTTTGTGCGTCGGATGGATCGTGGCCTACATACTGTAAAGGTCACCATACAGTGGATCTGATCTAAACAGCAGATGGCAGGGATTACAAAGTCAGCTCCTCTCTCCGGATCACTTTCGAGTCACGGCTGAAGACGTGTGATAAACTCTGATTCCAAGGTCAAAGACTGTCTGTCTTGTGGCATGTTGAAAAAGATATTGATTGCATGGTATGGACTTTTTCATTCACACATTATATTGCAAATATGACAAAAGTGCATTTATACAGTATGAATGCAACAGTTTTTCTCGATAATCCTCCTTAAATTAAATTGCAAAGTGTACCGGGGCTCTTGAGGTTCACTGGAGTAGAAAAGAAGACAAATTGCAAGACTAGATGAAGCTAATGACACTTTGTAGGAAGTGTCAGGGACACACTGGCAGATGCTGTCTTAACCTAGAGGCACAAAGCGATAGAGATCCAGTTTGTAAGAACAGATGCTAGCACAAACCTTCAGGGAGTATGATTTACGAATATAGTGTATTAAGATGGAACATAGTATGTATAGATTTAAGAATGAAAGACATATTTGGGAGTAAATACAGATGCACGTCTTGAGTTATAAAAGTTAAAAAGTATATAAGTTAAAAGTGATAAATAAGGCGTTTCCATGATGCAAGAAAGCATTAAGCATGATATTCCAACAAAGCAAACCAACAAACACAATGGATGCAGTGGCACAAAATGGTCCTGCTACTGCAGCAATCCAAGTAACAAATTAGGCAAGAAAGCTTTGAGATGCTGGAGGATATACTCAGCTAAAAATCACAGATAAAGAATATAGATTGACGAGATAAATATAGAGCGCATCGCCTTCAGACACCTTCATAGATGATCCTGGGTGTTTCTGAGTTGGCGTGGACAAGTGTTGGCGTGGATGAACAGCTTATGTGAGTATTCATGTCTGCGTTTTGTACGTTTTGATCACATCTGAAGGGTCTGCTCCGGATGTTGGTACAACTTGCCAAGCATATGTGCCTGCGCCTCACATTTTCCTGCGTACGTGTGTGTGTTCATGTCGATAGTTAAGCACGTAATGAGTAATTTACAGCCCTTGCCAGGGAAAGATCAAGCTGCATAGTGGGGTGGTGGGCGGTTTGCTGATGTTAGAACTGAGAACTGAGTCAGGCTTGTCAGACAAGTCGAGGAACGAGGCCAATACCAGGGCCTGATTCAAGGCCATGATAGTCAGCCTCGAGTGTGGGTGGGCAGCTAGCCAGAACCATAACTTAAAACACATTATAATCCAACAGACATATTAAGAGAAATTATCAACTGCTAGCTTTCGTCCTGTAAATGAAATTGGTTTGCTATAGGGCCAATAAACACAGAGACATTCTGCTCTTATAAGTGTCAATGGTAAAATATTTGGAAAAATGGGCCATTTTAACTTGGGAAATTTGACTCTACATGATTAAGTTCCTTCATTTTTTTAATTTTTGATAATACTTCACATTGGAGATTAGGTGATTTATCAAGTTTAATGAATGTCCATCTGTATCAGTGTCTTTATAATCTGTATTTATAATTTTGCTGTCAAAAACTGTTTTCCTCTTATATAAAATGGCATGCTTATTGATGATACTTTGTCACTTTCTGTATGATTATAGATCTGCAATTGTACGGACAACTTCAATCTGACGTCACCAAGAATCACTTTCACAATGATGGAATAGGAAACAAATAAGATGCACTTTCACTGCCGATAGTGATGCATGTCCAATTAGCATGCCACTTACCCACCATAGCTGCCCCTGGGCCAGGCTAGTGCCGAGTTAATCAGGGTTAATTTGTCAGAAACACAAGGGGAGGATTTAATCAAATGGGATCTTCTTTTATACACAGATCATTAGAAACACATGGCCTATCCACTGGGTGCACAACTTTACTGGGTCAGGGCTGGCTTCCCATACAGATGAACAGAGGGTTTTCTCAGTGCTGGTCACAGTGTATTACTCACACACCACTGCTCTGCTAAGTTAGAGCTAAGCTGAAGCTATCCAGGCCTCTTCACAGACGGGTGCACCTGCTAAGCTAATGCTAAGCTAACGCTGGTCAGATCGTTTTACTCATGGATGGACGCACAGCTATGCTAGCTGCCTTAGTGCTGTGGGCTGGCAACCCAGAACACTGAGAAGCTTCAGCAACTGGACGGCTTCATTCTCTTTCAAATCAACATGGACTTTCCTTCTCTCTGCCTTGTTTGCCTCACTCATGGATTGACATTTGAAGATAATATTGCAGAACTTTTTAGAAGTACCAACGCTCACTTTTCTACTGAACTGAGTATGAGAATATTATTTAAATGTATATTCTGTGTCCTCTACCCAGGTTATCAAAAGTAGACTGCTCCTAAATCGTGCCGAAAACAGTTGGCA